CCGCCATGTGATTGGCTGCTTAGAAATTAAGTGTTAACGAGCAGTTGGACAGGTGTACCTAATAAAGTGGCCGGTGAGTGTATATAATTACAAGAAATTTACAATGACCACCTCAACTAATATGGGATGACTGGGATACCTGTGGATAATGTATGCTGTCTGACATCTTCAGATAGTTGCACTTTAAACCCACAGTAACCTCTTAAAGTGGGGCAATTTTGCTTGTTAGCAAAGACAGTTCTGCTCTCCTCGCAAAGTTTCTGCAGCCCTGCCCCACCTCATCCTAAGGCTATGTTCACACGGAAGCCTGAAGTCACCCAGATCCAATTTTTTTTGCCCATATGCAACGTGTATGTGATCTTTTCATGACAGTCTGAACAACAAAGATCAAAATTTTTCCAATGCAACCCACTCCACTTGGCTATGCTATGTGGTCCTGAATCCAATACGTACCTGACCTGTTTCAAACGCACCTGTATCTGAATGGCCAGGTGACGTTAATCAGACCTGTGCGACAATAATACCCAACAAAGGTCCCTATTCTGCATCTTGCTACGCAAGAAAATTTTATTTAAAAGGAGGGTGCATAAACTTTCAAACTCAACTGTGTATCAATGTTAGTGTTCTAATAAAAGCTGACATTTTTATTTATTTTTGATGGTACTTCCATTTACCATTGAGGTATTTCTTGATGGCACCTCAATTTAAGTCAGTCATGCTTTATATAGATCTACTTTAGAGACTATATTATATTTCAAGTTTGCAGTTCAGCTTGCACATGTATGTATTATTTCCACTCACATCTTGATTGTGACTTGTACAGAAATTTCTGAATCAGTGGAGTTGCATTGTTGGCTCTTGTGTTTACTGTATCATCTCATATTGACAACACTCCACAGACTTGCTATTAGATTTAGGTTGATCAGGTTTAGAGTAGTGATTCTAAGGTGCATTGGCAGTGCGGGCAGGAGTCAAGTCCTGCTGGAAAATAGAGGCTCGTCAATAGGTGGACACATAAAAAACAAAATAATTTTCCTTGTACATTTGACTTTAGACACGATAACAGCTAAATGGACTAGAGCCTTTCTTTTTTTTTCAAGTTTATTAATCAAACAAATCTGTTCCGCTAAAGAGAAACAAAACATTAAGTGTAATATAACCTCTGTTATCACCAATTTATTTGCAGACATCACTGGCAAGTGTTTCCTTTTATAATTTTTTTTCTTTTTAATATCAAAAGCTAATAAACATTTGATGACAGTAAACCCATGGGGAAACGTTGCACTGTCAAGTATCAAGACAAAAGAAAAGATTTAATTTTTGCAAATCACTCTTGAGAAAGGATCGGCATTACCTGAACACTAGCAAAGTTACAAAGACACTCAAAAATACCACTTTGGCTGAATAAATTATCTTAAAAAACAGATAATAATGCTTTTAAGTGCTGGAATACAGTTGTGCAAAGTACCTGAAGGAGTACATCAAAGATACAAGTCTGTCATTTAGCTCACTCTTTCCTTTTCTGTCCGTCTCATTGCTACAAGTCATAGCTCCTCCAAGAGTTTCTCTCTTTGTGTTTGGAAACAGCTGGACAAGATGTGCAATAAAGTAGAAACGGGGCAGAGAAAAAGATTTGAAGTGGAGCAACCAAGTATTGTTCCCTTCAAGTTCTTTACTGGTAGCCTAACTTGTTTTACAAGGTGGAGGTTCAGTTAAGAGTCCCATGATTCCAGAAAAGCTCCCACAAATCTTTGTATTAGTGGTTTACATGGTGGTCTCTTCCCATTCCAGCTCAACATCACCTGAAAACCAACACAACAAAACCCGTGGGTTTAGCCCGGTATTACTGTCTAAAGTTTTTGTTCTTATACCAATGTTTGTTTTTTACCTTCCATGGCATCCAAAGAATCCATCTTTTCCAAAGCTGAATAGTTAACAAACCATATGGACTGGCTATTGCCCTTGTTGTTCAGAAGTTCCAGTGTGCTTTGATGGAGAAAGATGTACTGGGCCTGAAAGCATAGGAAAAAATAGCCAAAGAAGAGTTTTTTTTTTTTACTTCTTCTGCCTGATTTGCAAATCTCTCAAAACTGATTTGTGCATCAATTAATTGTGTAACTTAAAAAACAAAATAAGCATCCCAACCCAGGTCAGCCACTGTTTTTAATATACAGTAAGTGAACATGTGTTGCAGCCAATCTATTATAGTTGCTCTTAGAGGTGTTAAGATGTGCAAATTGGTTCGGTTCTGCCCTGTTAAAATAAGCACATTGTGCGTGCCGCTGGCAGGTTGAAATGGACTGTAAAAGGAAATTAAGATTTTTTTAGCTATGTTATTAAAGGTAATTATGATAATAATTTTTAGACATAATATTAGTAGCCTATCTTGAAGTGCTACAAATCAAAGTATAAAATAAAATAATGAAAATACATAAAATATAGAACAAAAAATATGAAAAATGTGTTTATCTGGTGTTTGAAGCCATCTTTCTAACAGAAAGGGAGCCCTGTTTACGTTTACAGCTGATTACACTCTAAACAGCCGGATTTACCTCCACCAACTTCTCCCCCCATATGGTTCGCCTCTGAACCATCTATTGAAGAACAAGGTAGGCCAATAGCTGTGCTTCATTTGGAGGGAACATAGAGGGAGAGAAAAATCCCTCTTACAATCAGTTAGAGGCATTTCCAGACACCTCTCCTGATATCCTCTTCTGGGCTCTGAGATGGATGACCTTTGAAAGCTATAAATATTATTTTATGCTTTTTTTTTTTTTTTTTTTTTTTTTTTTTTTTTTTTTTTTTAGAAAAATGTTTCAACATTCAAGTTGAGTCACTTTTCTTTCCTTTTAGTTTACCTTTATAAAGATCGTCTACTATGTTTGGACCTGCTTTCACAGAGGGTTTTTTCTTTATTAATATTAATCTACTATTGTTATTCTTGTCCAAATATTTGTGTGCACATTGTGCACATGTACATGTGCAAACCTTTTGATAATCAGATTCTAGGTGTAAGTGATGGGAAATTAACAGACATAACAGTCATAGGGTGCATGCTACTAATTCTATAAAATAAAATCATTAACTGAAAGGTTAACTCATTATGACTTATTTACTTTCACTGACTGAAAGGTTAATCATTAATGCTTAAAATAATAAGAGAGTTGAGCTTAATCTCTGAGCTCTTTCATTCAGTGCAAAATAATGGGTCAAAAACAAGGTCTTTAATCAAGGACAAAAACATCAAATGTTTTACATGCTGATTATAGAGCACTTCTGTCTGAAAATAGAGGAAAATTTAGTATTTCCAGTTACTGTTCAGACTTTCATTACGCTTTGAATAAAAAGTTAATTTTAGAGGTGAAAGCATGTGAAGAGCTGGAAAAAATGTTTCTAAATGCTGCTAAAAGGCAACAAGAACATCTGAGATATGAAGACAATTGAAAATTTTCATTCAGAAGGATATGTAAAATTAAAAATGGCTAAATGGCCAATGAAAATCTCAAGGGTGATCTAAAGTGTATAGAGTGATTGGTAAATTATGTGATATGGTGAACTATAGCTATTCTGACAAGAAGTCAAAACAAAAAGCCATAAAAATATACGAGACGGTGATTTTCTCAAAAACAGGCCTACCTTCTTTGTTTTTTTTTCTTTTTTGTGGGGGGTGGGGGCTGGGTTGTGTATGGATTTAAGCCAAAGTGCATCTAGGCATGGTACCTAATGCATTATGCTTTTTTCTTATGCCAAAACAAAATTGCCATAATATGGAGGTAGGAGCATTGGAGCATATCTCATCATTACCTCTTTCTGTATATCCATAGCAAATGTACAAATTTTATCCCAATCTATTTATTTGCAATCGAATCTGTAATGTTCCCATGACACTTTTGTTTATATGTCACACTGTAATACGACCAAGTTAAATGCATTCTAATTATTGATATAAAGATAAAATGTGACAAATATCTAGGTGTTTGAAAACGTTTGCTAGGAACTGTACATCACAGCCTCAAGAGTCATATGCACGGTTTTTGTTCAGGCAGGCAGTGCAGGAGGGAAAGCACTATCCAAATATTGACACATGCAGAAAAAATAGAAATGGGAAAACTATGATGAGAGGAGGAAAATAAGTAGAAGATCCCACATTAGGCACTGTGCCAATGCTAGCAATCACTTCTGCAATCACTGAGGTGATTTCCGGATGAGTTCATGCTGTTTTAGGGCGGCGGTTGCTGTTTTGCATTTAACCCTAATCCACTGAAAGATAATTCTCTTAGTTACAAAAATAAACCTTGTTGAATATGGATAATGATAAAAACCGGGCATGATTTTAATTAATTCAGCTGTTTGGCATTTATGTGGCAAATCAGTTCGGATTATTTGGTTTGGAGACAATTATTTTATTTTTCCTGAATCTGCTCAGCATCTTAAAATAGACTATTCTATTAGGATTTTTAAACTAGATTTCATAAACCTGTAAATGGATTGAACAACTGACGTATAACAGAGATAGAAAAAATAAAAAAAATAAATTATATATATATTTTGTTGTCACAACTGACAAAACTGACTTTATGCCCTTTTTTTTTTTTTTTTACAGATTAGTTGGAATCTAAATCCTATAAGTTTAAATGTAGCTTTTGTTTCCAGCAAACTCACCAGATTTTGCACCATACACATCCTCTCACTGCGCAGCTCAGCCACCAGCCCATAAATATCCACAAAGTCATGATCTCTGATGTGCTGAATGAGGTGATCGAGAGCAATGAATACGCCTGTTCTTCCCACACCAGCACTGAGGGAAAGGCGAGAGGACAATCATTATCACTCTGCGACCTGCTTCAGAACTTGGCAACCTGTTTCTTTTTATCAACACAATCTATTATATTTTACCATACCTGCAGTGGACCACAATGGTGGAGTTGTCATGGCGATGGGCTCGGACAGCTTTGACAAACTTAATCAAGGTGCTGCAGGATTCTGGTACTCCATGCTCTGGCCATGATGTGTAGTTGAAGTGTTTGACTAAAATGTAGTGACCGTGCTGCAAAAAGGTTTAGACATGGTTAAGTTTAAACTTTTGCCAATTAATTAATAGGCTCTTTATTTGAAAATGTTTTATAGAAATGTATAATCTCATTATATTCATCTCAATAGATTTAATTACAGCTGAACTCCAAATATGAGCCTTGTACATTTAGCTCATTAACAAAATATAGAAACTGAAAAGCATTTTTTACCTTAGAAAAAATTAGGACACCATAACCCTGAGAGGCCTTTTTTTGTCAACCAACTCATTCTTGATTATGGTTAAAGTTAGAAGGCTTTCTTGCAGGTGAGGCCAGTGTAAGGTTACGCCAGAGTCTTAATGAGATCTGAACTTTCATTTCTTATTTCCCAACAAGTTTATCAATATACTGCTGTGTACGTAGTCATTGTCATATGATATATATCTATATGTATATATATATATATATATATATATATATATATATCTATTCCTATTCTGGATCTTAAAGCAATGTGATTAGGTACATTTAATACCTCAAATGTTATATAACTCAGGGTGCTTCAATGTAAATTTGTGAGGCCAGTTTTACAAGATGAATGGACAAGCAAACATGTTGGCACATACATTTTGGCTTAGGGGTTTATGCTTGCTTCCCCCTTGTTAATTCCCTATTATTGACAGTTTTTGTTTTGCCCCTCTTCCTTATACTGTATTGAAATTATGAAAATACTAGAGAAAGTCCCTCACTGAATAATGTATTCTTAGGAGGTGAACAAATACCGACAGTAAGTGGTTTAAATTGGTTTACAGTGACATATATAAAGATTGACTTTACAGATATAACTTGCAACTGTAAAATCTAAGGAAATCCTTCTTTTCTGAAATCATTAAGCCTTATTTTCAATGGTTGACAGGTTGACAAACAGTCCTGCAACAGCAGTGTCTATATTCTGCTCCAACTGGGACTGCAATGAAGCTGCAAACTGTGTTCAGAGGATTTGCTGTGCTCTACAAAATGACAAAGGCATTCTGATTCTTAAGATTAGAAGAGTAGTTTGTGCATCAATACAGAATGCAGTTCCAAATTTGTGCACAATCTAAATAAATATATGCAAACATTTATTTGCCATAAATGTACTTTTCCCATTTTTCCTTTATTTTTTCCAATTTAAATCTCTTTGAATTGTCCTGTTTTACTTTTAACACTACAAAAGATTGCCTTTCTTTACCTATATAAATGTTGAGTCCATAGGCAAAATAAATAAATTTGCTGTGAACACACTCATGAAAGAACAAACAAGATCTAATGAGACAAAAGACATGCTGATTTTTTATAAGGTGTATGAGATAATTACTGAGAAGATACAGGTGTGAAGGGTGGCAGAACTGAAACATTTCCTTAGCTGAAGCTGTTTGCTGCTGTCAGAGTGTTTCTATATGTCAAAAGTATTTAGTGCATCTAAAAGCTTATTCTGTTTGTCATAAAATGTTGGTTTCTAAATCAATTAGGATTACTAGAACTATTTATCCGGGTGTTTTGAAGCACTAACAATGCAGTACACTTCAAATTCAGAGGTTTTCATTTTAAGATTAATTTCCTCATAAACATTTGAGGGAAAACACAGAAGATAAAGACAATGAACATTTCTGAATGACAACATACAGTACTTGATTAAACTTAATGATCCTATTGTTAGTTTATGGCTTAAACTAACAATAGGATAATCTTTTGAAAATCAGAAATCCAAAGCAGGAGCATGCAACAACTGACAAACACTTATAAAGGTTATATGTAGCACATCTAGCACCCTTTGCTCCAAAGGAAAAAAATAAAAATAAAATCCACACCACATAAGCCATGTAAAATGACAGAGGATAATCAAGGAAGGGATTTCAAAGTCTGCCCCAAACCTAGGAAAGGCAAAGTTTTGAAAGAGAACTAATTATAAGCAGTACCATACCAAAAGCATAGAGAGGGTACGCTGGAATGTTATCAATACATCACAGTAAATTATTCACAGTACATGATCATTTTAACCTATAAAATTCCCACAAGGCAGATAGAAAATAGAGCAAAATTATTTTTTTATTCCTTGTCTTTGCATCTATCTCTGCAATGTTAAACATTTGTCATTTGGAAACCTCTCCATCATCTACAAAGCAGCTGGTAGAGAAGGTGGCATTCACTGCCATTTTTTCAACACATCTACAGTAATCTTTTTTATATTCAGTTTCAGCAGAGCCTCCGGTGTTAAGTACCTTCAGTAGAATCTCATACTGAAGATGTTAATGAGCTCCTGTACACTTGGCATTCAGATGCAACTTCTCACTTCACTTTTAACACCAGAATAGGTTGTCTGTAAAACTGTATAATTAAATCTCTACTAAATCAGAGCTCTGCAGATCTAAAAGTAGAGCAGGGCTTAAATTGTGTCTTGCTGGGAATTTTTGTAAGGTCTAGAAAACTAATAGTATTATTTTTAATCTATTGGATGACAATAATAGAGAATTATAATCCTTTGTGTCCACAGACAATTGATGCATGTCTAACCCTTTTTTCAGATTTGTCAAGAAAAAAGCATTAAGTACCTTCAAACAATTGTATCAATTAACAGACACTGACGGATCTATGTTAGGTTTCAATATTTTCTCTTATTAAGAACAACAGTTGATTTGTATCTATTTTATTGATTATTACATCTAACTTGTATTTTGGTGACTACATACCCAAAACTGAGCTAAGTTAATATGTCTATACAGTGAGTGAAATAGGTATTGAACACATATTTCTAGAGGTGCTATTGACACCAGTTGTTAGTAACAATCCATGCAATCCACGCATACAAAGAAATCAAACCATAGATGTCTCAGAAAGTAAGTTATTTGTAATAAAGTGAAGAGTGGGAAAAAGTATTGAACACACTTTTTGAAATGTATTTAATACTTTGTACATAAGCCTTTTTGGCAACGAAAGCCTTAAGTTTCCTCCTGTATGGAGAAATTGTCGCCTGCTTTGGTCAGGTGTGATTTTGGCCCATTCGTCCACACATTCTTCAACTCTTCAAGGTTTCACGGGCCTATTCTATGACCTCTGATCTTTAGTCCTTTGGATAGATTTTCTATTGGATTTAAGTCAGGTGATTCGGTGGGCCGTTCTAGCAGCTTTATTTTCTTTCTCTGAAAACAATTGTTTCCATTGCTGTGTGTTTGAGGTCATTGTCTTGCTGAAATGTTCAGCCACGTTTCATCTTCATCATCCTGGTAGATGGCAGATTTTTATCAAGAATATCTCTGTAGATTTTTAATTATTCCTTCCTTTAATTGTTTGAACTTTACCAGGTACCATATGCTGAAAAACAGCCCCACACCATGATGTTCCCACCTCCAAACTTCATTATTGGTAGGGTGTTTTTGGGGTGATGTACAGTGCCATTTGACCTTCAAACATGATGTGTATTATATCATCCAAGGTTTAATTTTGATCTCATTTGACCAGAATATATTGTCCCAGTATGTCAGAGGCTTGTCTAAATGTTGTGCAGCAAAATTTAAACGAGCTTCAACATGCTTTTTGTTCAGCAATGGAGTCTTGCATGGTGAGCTTGCATACAGGCCTGGGCGGTTGAGTGCATTACTTATTGTTTTGTTTTAAACAATTTTACCTACACTAATTCCATTCTTTCCGAAGCTTTTCACAAGTGTTCTTTGGTTCTTGGACAACTATTTTGATATTTCTTTTTCCTCCTCTGTCAGAAATCTTGTGAGGAAGTCATTTTAAGGTGAAATTATGTTCTTTCCATGTCTGGATTATGGCCCCAACAGGGCTCACTGGAACATTAAGAAGTTTAGAAATCCTTCTGTAACCAATACTATTATTATGATTTGCAACAATAAGGTTGTGAAGGTCTTTGCTCTTACCCATGATGAGATTTTTCTTGTGTGATACCAGAGACACCTTTTTATAGGCCATCATTTGGGACTGAACCAGCTGATAATAATTTGCACTGACAAGGGGCAGGGTGGCTTTCTAATTACTGAGAGATTTCAGCTGGTGTCTCTGCGTTCCATGCCTGCACCTCCCTTTCTTCACAAATCGAATACTTTTTTCCTGTGCCATTCCACCTTGTTAATTTCTGGACATCTACAGTATGGTTTAAGTTCTTTGTATATTAGGATTGCATAGATTGTTACCAACACCTGGTGAAAATGTCATGTTAATAGCACCTGTAGAAATATATTTACTATGAAAAATGGTTTTCAATTCTTATTTCACTTTTATTTATACTTTTATGGCATTTGAAATTTGAATTTCAAGCCAAATGTTTCAGATTTAGGGTTAGGATAGAAAAATATTGCATTGACCCGAAATGAAAGGATTCAAACCTGTTTTATAACCACCATTAAAGTAAAAAGACCCACATAATTTCAAAATCAATATATTATGGTGTGTTATTCCATTTAGAAAAAACAAGGTTCATTTGTCTAGGGCTTTCATTTGCAGGAAAGTATACAAAAAGACAAGTATGTAAACATAACCAAAACCCCTGGCACTATATGTTGAAAAATATGTAGCTAAAATCCATAATTTAAATTTTTGTATATATAATCTAGTGGTGGTGGTCAATTATAACTTAGAGTCTAATGTGAGTTTATTGTTGGTCATAGGCAGATTGCTTTTGTGGGCATAAATTTGGAAAATAGGAATCTGCAGAAAGGCACAAAAACATGCAACATACAGTTGTGGTTGAAGATTTAAATACCCTTCCATTGAAGACAGAAACAAAATCAGCTAGTAAAATAAATTGAAATTGGCAAAAGTAATAAAAAAACAAATGATAAAAAATGGAAATCATGACCTTAATTACGAAAATATATTTACATGCATATATTAACAAAAAAACAAGTAAACAAGCCTGATGTAGCTTCTGAACTAAAATCTTGTTTAGCGACACTTTGAGGCAAACACTGAAATCAGGTGATTTCTATAAAGTTATAGGAATTATTCAGTAAGACTGCACCTGTTTACAGCTATGTTGGTTCACTGTTCATGAGTAGGGTACTTTAATTTGGGTACTTTAATTGTGTTAATTTTTAAACAAAAATTCAAAATATAATTGATTCTACTAAATTATATATTATATTATATATTTTCTTAAATGGGAGGTTATGTAAACTTTAAAGCACACATAAGGAACTTAATTTCGTCAAAACAAGCAATAAGAAAATACCGATAACATGCTAATTATAGATGGGATTTATTTAAGTAGACAGTTGCTGCAGAGAAGACTCTATTCCTGTCCTAGTTTTATCTATTCTAAGAGCAGAAAAAAAAAACAGTCAAAATCTTCATTGTCTGCTACAGCAGCTCCTTTAGTGAAAGACTTTTACACCCTGTTTGTAAAAAAGAGTGCTACTGCAGGTCATTCATCCCTGCTGCAACCAGACTCTACAATGCAACACTGCAACAGCAGTAACTGGTGCAATGTTTAATGTGCAATTTAATGTGTCTTTATATTTGATCCCCAGTGCAATAGCTATATAGAATCATACCCATCTATATAAATACCCATGTAAATACTATATATATTGCATATATACAGTATCAATCACTCACTTAATCAATCAATCAGTAATGAATACTGCATTCATAGGTACAACTAAACAAATGTTGTTTAGTTGTACCTATGAATGCAGATAGTGTTGCATATGTGTGTTCGTGTTAACTACCTTTTCTACTTTTAATGTTCTGACAGTCCAGTCAGGAAGCACTTCCTCTGACACCTTAGAAATGAGGATGTCACTAAACACTGTCATTGGCTTGTTGTCCTCAGGCCAATACTTGTGACAACGAATCTGAAATGTCACAAACACAGTACACAGAGAATATGTCAGGGCTTCAGAGAGGATGTTATCCTTTTATGAAGGGAAGCCCTGAAATGAAACCTAATGTCTGTAACATCACTAACGACGCACCCTGCCTTTCTCATAACACTGTGTGAGCATGGCAACTGTGCGGGTTCCTGTTTCCCAGATCATCCTCCAAAAGTCCGCCACAGTGCTGGGCAGAGGACCCTGAGTGGCTATGAACTCATTGGGACACAAGTAACCCTGCAAAGTGAAACACATAAGATATAGCCTTAGAATACACTTCTAATCAGAGTTCAAGGTGTTTTTCATTAGTGATAACTCACTGAGACAAAGCTTGCATTGACGTAGTCTGATCCTGCCATGCCTGGTTCTGACAGCAGCTTCACTCGGTTGTTATTGTCTAGGTGCCAAAGAACGAGAGGAAAACCATTTAGTAAGAGGCTGTTAAAAAAGGCTTCACAGAGTTAAAAAAGGTTGCAGTAAGATGGAAAATTTAGGTTGCTTTGTTTTGCTCATTTTGAGTCCAACCACATACAGGGTTTGATGTTGAGAAAGCGGTTTTTGGATTTATTCCAGGGCAGGTCGGCGTCTGTTGTGGCCAGGTCTGGCAGCAGCTTTGGGAGATCCTGGGGAAATAAAAAACAATAACAACACATTCACATTAGCATTCACAAAAACTCCAGCAGCCATGAATTTGAACTTTTCAAAGCTAACTTGGCTTGCCTCATTAAAAACTATTGCACTAATAAGGAGATTATATAAGAGAAATCTATAAGAGCTTTAGAAGTATGTGTAATCAGTTATGATTGATGTGTTTGGTGTTTTGTTGCTGCTTTTGAAATAGAAGCAAACACATAACATTTATGCAGGGAGAAACCAAGCAATATGTGGAAATCCCAAAATATTTTCTCATTTAAACCTTTTTCAAATCCAGCAACATGATTCAGTTTACCTCTTGTTTGCAATTGATTATTTGTTTATTATAACAGTCGCTTTACATGCTTTCTCCTGTGTGCACTACCTTTTATTGTCAAATGAAATCCGAATTGAATATATAAGAAACAAATATACGCGAAAATGAGGAAAAGCAGAAGCGTTATGAACATTTTCGCAAAGAACAGCAGGTGCAAGGTTCCATCCGTTTAGGCAAACATTTACCGAAAACTCCTCTTGAAACTTTGAATTGTCATTGGCACACAGATCTTCTACGTGCTGCAGGAAGGATTTCTTGTTGACAGGCCTGACAAAGACGATGGTAGAGAAATGCACTGAACGTTAATGACAGAGAGAGAGAGAGTCAACAATACACTATTTTATATCAACTTATTTTAGGGTATAAGCGGTGCAGAGCCATGAAGAACATGCTGATTTCTCCAGCAGCTGCTGTGTGCATGCACGCATCATTTATAAAAGATGACGTACTTGAGCGACTTCCTGTAGCTGAGCAGCCTGGACGAAAATAGAAGCAAAATAAGCAAATTAATGCAATGATTACAACCCACACTTTGGCTTTGCTGCCCATGAAAATTTTACTAATCATTGCAGCAGAAAATACACAGAGATACGCGTTTAGAACCGCATCTTGCGGTTAAATCCACCCTGATTAAACACTGATGCAGACCTTGATTTTCCTGCATAATGAGAATAAGGGGGACAATTGATTGCATGAAAAGTGTGCAGCTCATCTTCTGTGAAATCTAGTTGGATCTTCAACAATTGAAAAAGCTTAGTACTTCTGCCCTCCCTGTCTTCCAAACGATTTGGGGCTGGGTAAACAAATTAAAAGGGTCTTAAGGAGAGGGACTTCAGCTAAACTGTTCAATCTCTACTAGGAATGGAGAAGAACCTGCAGGCTATTGGTAAAATGCTGATGTCACTGATTAACTGAACTATCAGCCTCCACAGAAGCTCTCTTAAAACTGCACAGATGGACGGTTTGACGTAAGCCTTAATAAGCAACATGATGACACACATAGGCACACTGTATGTGTGTGTGCGTGCATGAAGTTAAAAGAATAGAACATGCAAACACATCAAAATGAGACACACACACACTAAATGTCCAACTTACTGGATGACATAAATCTCTTTGCGCCTAAAGAAGAAGGAAGAATACCTGGTGGGAGACAAATGTTCAGTGAGAGAAAGACAGCTTGTGTGAGTGAATGTAAACGTCTGCGTGGAAAGAGAGTTGGGAAGTGACAAGGAAAGGTGTGTTGCTTGAACTGCAAGACAAGTTGTGTTTTAACAACTCTCACCGAGCTGTCAGAGCTAGGCTGATTTTCTGGTCCTATCAGAGAGGAGGAGACAAGCGATGCTGGCCAAATGACTACAGTGAAATGCCTTTGCTATGAAAATTGAGTGAACAGTCATCGTAGAGGAGGGACTGTCATTCTAAATGTTTTATTAGGGAGGTGAGTCACCCTCTTTCATTCCCTCTACTCATAAAGATAAGAGGCAAGTATTCTCAGATACAAAAAAAAAAAAAACTTGGGGGAATGATGTTCAAGGGAGTGTACGACTTAATGCTTGAAAGAATAATTTCTTAATAGTTTCATTTAAACAGAGCAGCTCTGAAATGTACAGATGATGAAGTTGCTCAAATTACCGACACAAAAACATGGGAATGAAATGTTCAGATATGTCTATCTAATTTAGCCTTGAAACATTCGAAGCTCTGTGTTATAGTAAACATTCATAAGAGAAGATATCAATATCTCTAAAAGAACCTTAATAAAACATTGACTGCAACCTGCAGGGAGAGGTTATTGTTGTATTCTTCCTTTGCAGAATTTTAAAAAGAGATCACAAATGCAAACATTGATACAAACAACAGGGTTCTGACTTTCTGATTATGACAATGTAATAACATAAGGTAAATAAGAAATGTCCTGATCTGCTCCCAAGTACTGAATGAAATCTGGATCACGATATTTCTGAAATGATTGTCCTTAACTAAACTGAATTCTTTTTTAAATCTGGAGGGGTTACAATACTTGTGATCTATACTTAGGATACCCTTAGCATACATAATCTCACATTTATATTTTCATTATCATTGTAAATTGCACACTATTAACCTCTACATTCTCTTTGAACTTTTTTTAAATGATACCTGAATTCCTACTATTTGCACACATTTAATATCAGCATGCACCTTCATAAAACTGCCCCTAAATGTTTTTAACCATTTACAAAATTGTACAAATACAATTGTCTCAAATTTATAGAGACACTACATCGGAGCTCCATTTTCTGCGTCCATTTGCAACCAATGGCCTATTTGACAAAACCAAGCAAAACAGATACTTCAGATTGAAATATCACTGTTTGAGCCATTTATTACTTGGACAAAATCAGACTACTGATTTAAATAATGCACTACTGATAACAATGTCATTTTAGCTCCACTTTAAAGCTGTTATGCAGTCAGACAATCAGGAAATGTGAATGTGATTTCTGAATTAGAATGTTTCTTAAATAATGGCTTCTCAGATGGATTGAGGTGCAGATCTAACCACCAAATTAAAATAAGATCACACTTCAGTGGTAGTATACTCATTTATTGTACTATACTGCAAAGGTACAGTATATATGACCATCATGGAGAGGTGAATAATTTATTTTCTAAGGAAAAAAAGAGCATTTACTCAAGCAGAAAGCAAGAAAGTGAAAAAAAAAATATATTTGGCCTAATGAGCAAATCTGTATAAAACAAGATTTTAAGAATATGACATCTCTTTAAAAGTGAATCAGGACTGAGTCATTATCTTTTGAGTCAGTGTTAGCTTGCATCAGAGGGATATTTCACAGAACATACTGTATCTAATAAATAACAGAACATTCTGGAAACCAGAAATGACACATGGAAAGCGAAAGAGATAAAAGAGTGTGGTATCTACAGCACAATAAAGATCGAACTCTAGGCTTTGCCTTTTCTTCTGACCTAAGCATAATTGAAAATCTGTGGACAGACCTCCACATGAACACGGGTGGGACAGCTCATAAATCACACAGAAATATGGTAGGAGCCTTTTGAAGGAAGAAAACATTTCCCACAGAAGAACTAAGAGGATTTATAGAAATGTTAGCCACAGAAAATCTTTACTGATGTTCCTGATGGCTTAGGAGATAACGAAGGAAAAGACACACACAAGTTCAGAAAGTTGATGATTAAATAAATACAAAGAATATCCCAAAGGATAAATAAAGTTAAGTCTGAGTCAAAATAAAATATAACTTCTAAAATAGTAATTTTATCCAATAAAAAGTAATGCATGTTTACTTGTAAAAGCTTTGCAATTTACAACAGAAAAAGTTTAGAGTTCATTTTTTTTCTTTTTTTTTTAAGCAAGTTGTGGGGAAATTTGTTCTCTACAAGAAAAGAAACAAACCTAGAAAAAGTTGGATGTTAGATTTTGTAGCTGATCTTTCTTTGGAATAAAGGAGGCAGAATGACTTCTCTGTTCTGCAGAGAACTGACGAGAAGAGAAATTACAAAGCCACAATTCTGTGTTGTATCTTTCTGCTGCTACTGTTTCTATTTTTTGCACAAACTCAACACTGCTAGATGATTTTGTGCTGACAGGAGCTGCATGTCAAGTCAACCGGAGCAAAGAGGGTTTTCACCTTGCTCACACAGATTTTGAATCTTGTCTTACACAGACAAATCAAGCCTAAAGTTGAGCAGTTTCTTTCTATACAAACAGGAAAAGACTTACCGATTGAGTTTTTCTTGCTTCAGTTCCATATCAGCAACAGCAATCAGTTGATCTAATTTGCATTTAGTCTCTATGATCTCAGCTTCTCTGGGTGAATAGGTCCCACCTTCCTTCTTACGCTGGTGGATCCTGTGAACAAAAAGTAATTATAGTAGTTACTTTCACTGAGAAATGTAATGCATTTATAATTATGTTTAGTTGTAAATTTATGCAGGCTTGTTTTAAATCTTACTTGACTGAGCAACAGATAAGCAGGATGAGTAACACAGCCAGGAAGAATGACAGCAAAACACCCAGGATGATTTGTTCCTCTTTGGTCAGCAGTCCATCTGCTGCAAAATCAGAGATAAATACTTTTCACTTATGTTAAATCAAACAAACAAGAAGAATATTCCCTTCCAAATATAACTAGCAGGCACCCATGATCAGAGTGAACAATGTGAGCCTTTGAACAAGTTATAAAACCCCTTTCTTTTTCAGACTGGACTGAGAATAAAATTTATATGTGTCATGGATTTTTATTTGCAAAAATAGGATGCACAAGTTTGTGTTTGGTAGAATTTCTCCATCATAAAGCATACATGTTTTCTGTTTTATTGATTCAACACAAGTTTGGATGTGTGTTTAGGATCTTTTCTGTTTAAATATCAAACTAGTTCCAGTGTTTAATTATCTACCTGTGTTTTAAACAGGAAGTACAGTATGTATCAGAGCTTGTATGTTTAATTTTGACCCCTTGCACATTAGGGAAAACATTTAGAGTCGTTATCAGTAGACTAACTTTGACATTCAGGCTCAATACATCTTACCCTTTGAGCAGAACTGCATGCACTAGTGGAAGAAGTGTAATCAGTTCTTATTTCTTTACATTTTGCCCTCTAGGGTAGAGGCAAGTCCTAATCTTTTTTTTTTTCTTGCACTGTACCTGCTGTTTTATTGGAATCAAACAGGGGCGGGCAACTCTAGTGCTCAAGGGCCTGTATCCTGCAACTTTTAAATGTGTCCTTGGACCAACACACCTGAATTAAGTAATTAGATAATTAAGAGGTCTCTGGAGAAATTGACTGCACACTGAGGAGGTAATTCAGCCTTTTAATTCAAGTGTATTGAACTCAGGGCAAATCTAAAAATATCAGCCCTTCTATAAAGAAAAAAGCATAGTGAGTTTTTATTTTTTTATGCAGAGTGATGTTTGCTTAGTTATTCATTGAAAACTTACCTGTAGTCCTGATATGCTCAGAGAATTCAGAGTCTGTATATTGGCCATTGATGTTAGTGGCTCTGAATTTAAACCTATTAACATAAACCAACAGCAAAACAGAAGAGTTTTTTTTCATTCTTTTTTAAAAACCCAATTAAAGTTTTTCAAAGTACTTAAAGGTCCAGAATTCTTCTGAAGGACTCACACGTAGACAGTGTTGGCCTTCAGAGGCCCGTTACAGAAATGATCAGTGTTGTTCTCTTGCATGCAGTTGTCGTTCTCTCCAATCACGTAGGTCCCTGCATTGGTGTGGTTGTACCTCCGCAGTGAAGGGTTGGGTCCAGACACCCTACGACTGCTTACGACATGCATATCCAGACCTGCTGCCCTGTCCCTCTCTAAGCATGTGGGGTTGGGGAACCCTGCATCAGTAAAGTAAGGAGCAGGACGCTGATGGTAGGCTGTCCTCCAGTTGGTCAGGTTCTCGCTGTCCCTCACTAGACAGGATAAAAAAGGGAAGAATGTGTAAAAAGAAAAAAAAACTGCCCGAGTTTATTATTTTATGAACTGCAAAAAGGAGGTGCATTGTGAAAATATGACACACACAACAAACGTCTGTTTGAAATGTATTTGACTAAAAAGTGGATACCCCCTGACTCGGCCACGATGACCTGGATTTTTGCAATCGGTCCGTTGTCGTCACTATAGAAACAGGCTGGCATGCGGATGGTTATGCTCCTGTGGGTTACTATGGCAACCCCTCCTTGGCCCAGAACTGCTTGGGGTCTTTGGGTTGGCTTGGATGGGGCTACAGCACATACACACACACACACACACACACAGCCACACAGATATCAGGGGAAACGATATTTGTATCAGATGCACTTCTAAAGGGGAACTATATCATACAGAAATGCTCTCCATTACATGACTAATGACACATTTAATGTGTCAGGACAGGTTTGTTTTTTTTATTTTTAGAAAAACTGCTGTAAAGCTAGAATTCAACCAGATAATTATGCTTAATCACTGCGACAAAAAAAACAAAAACAAAAAAAAAACGCTGAGCATTGCTAAGAACAGGAGCTTGTACCTTTAATCCCCGTAGTTATCTGGACATGGGGACTCAGTGGGCTCCTGCCCGCCCCGTTTCTGGCTGCAATCTGCAGGCAGGACAAACACATGGAATCAGGGGAGGCACCGGGAGGATTAGCACAGAAAATAGCAAGAGCTGTAGGTTTAAAGAAATCAAAAACAGGATTGCTTGGGTTTGTTACTTCATTAAACTGTATTTTTTTCCAGGCCCACTGCATCCCCATTAACTGGAAACTATATGGTTAAGAAGAAAAATAAAGTGCTTCTACCATGCAAGGTCAGAAAACTTTTAAATAATGTCTCTCTTCTCTCACGTAACATCTGATTTGTCTCTAAGCATCGTAGCAGGTTGTTGTGACTGATTAATAATTCAGTGTCTTTAAAAAATGGCTGAACAAATAAGAAGACTTCCAACTTAAGTGATGGCCAGAAGGCAATCACTAATACTGGGAGTCTAGGCAACAAACAATTGCCTAGTAAAGTGACTCAGCTGAAAACCATTTAACCTTCTTAAATGTTTCAAGCTAATCCAATCATTTGATCTGCACCTGTACTGACAGAGTTTGCCCTAAATGCATCAAAGCTACCTCCAATATATGGCTGTCAATTGTTTCATGTCAAAAACACACCCTTTTCTGCCATAGGAAAAGATCTATTGTTAGCATTTAGATTTACAAAAACCTGTGAATTAAAGATAATAGTCTTTGTTTTCAGTCTCATGGAGAATGTAGCTCTGCGTCCACATGCAATATGAGTTTCTCACCTGTATACTGTAGGTGTGCCCTCCTTTAAGCCCTTCTATGAAAGCCACCAGCATGTTGGGTTCTCCGTGGATATTATCAAGGCTCATATTTTTAATCAGCCGGTCCTTCTCATACACAAATAGGTAATAAGTTGTGATGTTTCCATTGGGCTCTTCAGGGGGACTGAAGCTCACCCTGACCAGGTTCACTTCCTCTGGGACAGCAGTGACGGTAACATTCTTGGGAGGGTCTTTGGGCTCTGTAAAGAAAAAAGGAAATGATGCAAAAGCAGAGAAATAAAGCCAATAAGAAAATGGATTTACACCTACCCTCCTCCAGTGTCTGAAAGACAATAGGCCCAATGGCTCTCCCGTCACTGCCAGCATCCTCTAATGAACCAGTAAAGGCGGTGACAGTCACGGCATAATTACTGAAAGCTGTTAAATTGGTCACAAAGACTGTAGTCAATTCTCCTGGGCCCCGAACTATTGATATGTTCACACCAGGACCATCCACCTGAAGTAAGAGAAGTTCTTGATTATTATCAATTGATTTCCATTTAATACTCAAAACCCCATTCAGTGCTTCATTTGCAGTTTTAAAACTGTGACCAAAGCAAAACCACAATGAGCTTTCCTAATGACATGTCTATATAGGGAGGTTGTAGCTCAGAAGGGCGACCTGCACTAGATATGAAGTTGGTCCCGAGAGAACAGCTGGAACCTGCCACGCAATCCGGAGGCTGGTGGAGGTTGGAGTCACTTTAAGGTCACGGGGAGGAGCATCAGGTTCTAAGGAGAGGAGATAAGCAAAACATATTTCATTACCTGAAATGCATGGGGTCAATATAAGCCGGGAAGAGACTTTAATCCCAAAGGAGAAAATAAAATCAAAGACACTAAGGTAATCTATTTGTTTCATCCTGAGCAAACAAAGAGATTTGTTTTGTCTCAATTGGTGCCTTTGGGGAGCTAGGTTACTTCATGCTGCCAGAATATATTAGTAACACCATTATGGTAATGCAGGAGGTGACAATGAATGTGTTTGCCAAATCAAGACAATATCATCATATAATTAAGAGCCTTGTAATAGTACTCATACCTCTAACTCCTGGAATTTTAGGTTATAGACATCCCCAAAACAGCACATAAAGGTGAAGTTGAAGGAAAAAAAGATGTGGTGAGGAGATCATTATTAGGAGCTAAAGAGCTGCTAAGATCTACTACTCAGAGGAGAAGATAATCTGTTCACTGAAAAACTATTATTCAGGCACTCTGCTGCCTGTTTGAAATAATAGCTCAAACATTTTTTTATGAATATTTGAAAAACTACACTTTTAAATGCCTTTCCAGTGGTAATATACTGTAGTGGGAGCATCATACTGTTAGCATTCCATACTTCACAGGAAAAAAAACAAGCTGGTAAGGATAAAAAAGGACAAAGCTAAATAGGTGACCGGCAGACTGAAGTGGAAGTTCGTGTTTCAACAGGAAGACTTAAACTCCTCCTATTTGGTACGAGATTTAAACGGCCTAAAATGGGGTCAAAGTAATACAAACCTTTTCAATTCTCAGGTCATTATTCTGATCAAGTTGAAATGTGACTGGATGTAATTACTTTGCTAATCTAGTAAGATATTTTTAATAAATATTTTTATTGATGTTTTTCCATTGAAATGTATATATGGTTTCAAGTTTAAATTACTGATTTTTCTCTGGGCTGTAGGGCAAACTTTCCCTATTGGGACAGTGAAAAGTTGTTATGGTACTACTGTTATTACATTCAGAGATATTCTGTAATGGGGTGGTTCAGATCAAAGAAAAAACCTACAGTCAGTCCAGAACACACAGAATGCCTTAGGCTCGAAAGATCTAAATGAGGAATTTGAAATATAAACTTTTCCTTAGTTCCCTTATTTTATGTCCACATTCAAGTTAAAAGTTGTGTTACCTCTTAACATGCTTTAGCTCTAATATCGTATGCATAAACAAACAAATTGAGGTTGGGCTTTTTTGGGGTTACTGACAGATAAATAGATTCTTAAAATGTAGTATTTATGATTCTTTTCCAAAACCTGGTGTTTGAATTTGGTGCTAAATATAAAATAGGTAGGTCCGTCTGTCCATCGGTTCGTCCATCCATCTGAATTTAATGTTTTGCTGAAAAACCTGATACTACGGATGAGATGCCGTCTCTGCTTACATACACTTTTATCTGTCCAAGAAATGGTATGGCTTTGGCCTGCATTGCAGACCTTCTTTAATGTGTTAGTCAGGGTATGTTGTGGCCCTGCACCCAATACACTGGATTTTGAATGTGTGTCCTTTATTTCCAGTCTCCAGACTTACCGGTACATTCAAATGAGAATTGGTGATAAGATTATTCAGTCTGTCTTGGTTTGGAATGTTTAGTAAATGCATGATGTAATTCTGTCTGAATGTGCAAAGCTGGCAGAAACAGGAAGTGGGAGCTGAATGTGAATGCAAAACCTGTGTTTCAAATTCTTATTTGCAACAAGTTTTGAAAACCATGCATCTTCTTCCTATACTTAACAATTATGATGATAAAGAGACCAGCTTAGCTCAGCTGTGTAAGATCGCTTTGGATATTAAAGATTAGAAAAACAGACTGATGAAATAATAGTCCCAATATTAATCCTAGTGAGCGAGGGACGCTTAAAGCAAATTGATGATGTGTCATTTTAGGATCATTTTTAATAACCTGTTGGAGAGTAACTGATATTGTGCTACACTGGTTTAGGAGTTTTGGATGTCACCCTATGAAGAGACAAAAACTTGTGTTCATTGATTGTTTACATTGTTTGATTGGTCAGCAAATGTGTAATATAAATCATTAGTCTGTTAACAAACTAAAATGTATCAGTCAGATATTACCGAATGCTCTGACTTGCTGTAAAACCTAATTAACTGACACATAAAGGTCACATCATTGCAGTTGGGTTCGTACTTCCAGCCAGAGTGCGTGCATAACTCCACTGTGCATATGCTCCAGGTCCCGCGTTGGTCACTGCAGCCACCTTGAAGCGATAGTATCTGTATTTAGCTAGGGATTGAAGGGTGACACTGCTTTCTTCAGCGTTATCCGAGGCATTTACTGAAACGGTAAAATTGTCCTCCACACAATGCAAGGCCTTGTCGTCCTCTAGGGTTGGCAGGGTAGTAGCTTGTATGATTGGTTCGCAAACAGTGGAAATCAGCTGTGCAATGACATGATACTCTTTCAGCAGGCCAGGAACAGAGACCGGTGATTTCCATTCAAGTGTCACATTGGTGGCTGTGACCTCAGAGATAGAGAGGAGGCGAGGAGCAGTTGGAACTGTTAAAAGACAAACAGGATTTAGTTTGAATTAAATCATCTATTTTGTGCAGATGAAAACAACCAATATGGCTAACCTGATTCAGAAAGGGTGAAGGCTGTGCAGTTGTTGATATCTCCTGGTCCAGCAGAGTTCACTGCAGCTACAGCCAATACATACTCCTGGTCTGGTGACAGCCCAGTCACTGTGTACTCTAGTGTGTCAGCCTTGTGTGTGAAGGTTTGCATGTTGACCTCCCCTGTGATCTCATAAAACAGGATCTGTCCATTTGGGTTGGCTGGAACTTCCCAGGAGATCTGGACTGAGTCCCAGCTCAGTCCTAAGCAGGACAGATTTCCCACAGCATCTGATACTGAAGAGAAGGGCAGAATGAGAACAGGTTGAACCTCTCTCCTCAGAACTGAATTTAATTTTGATAGATGTTATTGATTAGAAGCAGTGTTTTAATTTTGACCTTGTTTTTGCATTAGTCTTAAATTTTAAAATGGTAAATGTATGTATACAGTCCTTTGTCATAATCTGCACATATTTTAGTTAGTTTTTAGTTTGAGAATGTATTCTGATTGCTTTCATAGCCTATACTGTATGCAATTCATATCATAAATATAGAAAATCCTGATTTATTTTACTGTAATAAATAGTGCTTTCCTTGTGTGTATCTGTGCTTGGCACTGTGATGGACTTGTAATCTGGGTGTTCACAATACACACAATAACAACTGGCATAGGCTGTCATTATCAGCTCTGGATAGAGAAAATTAATAAATGTCACAGTGAAAAATGTATAATTAAATTTTTATTGAAAGCAGTACCTCATTTCTCTTTAATCTTATTTTAATCTTCTATATTGTCTAAAAAAACAGAAATCAATTGTCACTTGTGAATAACTGAACTTTTTGTAGTTACAATGAGTTTTCAGATGTTGGCCATTTTTGCTCTTCATCCAGACAGCCAATATTATGCTTTTTGACCAGAATTCCTTTAATAATAAAATCGACCTTCTGTGCCAAGTGTTTTGAAACTTTTTTTTTTTTTTTGGGGGGGGGGAGCACAAGGGATTTTTGTAAGGGTGTAAAATACTAGCACTAAGAGTCTGAGCCACAGAAGCACAATTTTGGATTACCAACACAGACTCAGGCCTCAGACTTTCTTTGCTTTTAGGAAATGCTTTAGAACTTCTGTATGAGGTGGACTTTATCAAGCATTTACCTACAATAAAGTCTGTGGCGTTGTATGCGTAGTGGAGCTGAATGTGGAGCAGTGGTTACAGCAGTGCGCTTGTGTTCTAAGAAGGTTGCAGGTACCTGGATCGAGCCCCACACCCTCCACTCTGGGTTTCTGAGCAAAACTCTTAACCCCACACTGCTCACCGGGTGCCACACAATGGAAGTCCACTGCTCCCCGATGGGATGGGTCAAATGCAGAGAGTCAATTTCCCCATTGTGGGACAATAAAGGGGTTTACATTTTTGCTTACTCTTTTAGAGCATTTCTTGTCAATTAAATATTTTGACACAAACATCACATTAGTTCTCTAAACAACTATTAGGCCCTCGTTTATTTTTTGAAACAGAAGTATATTTCCTCGTAACTCTTTGGTAGGGCTCTCCTGCATTAAATATTTGATTCTTTTTCAATCTGCTTTCCATCCTTTCTGTGCATCAATATAAACTCAGCTTATCGTTGAGCCCTGCAGCTTAATTGTAGATATGGAAAAGTTAAAGCTAGTCATAATTTTCAAGTAGCTATTTCCAAAATCACAGCAGTCACTGTTAATCTGCTTTAATTAAAGGTTATGTTTCTCTTTTGTTTCCATTTTTTAAGATTAGGTAAGATAAAATGGTCCCTTTGACATATTTACAACACAAACAGTTTTAAAATTACATTTGACAAGTTTTAGAAGCTCCTCAGTTCACCTTCAAAGAATAAAGAATAAATATTTTGTCCACCCATAGTTGCTTTTGTCGTCCCTCCTATAAATAAATGTGGGTACATGTTTAAATCTATTTAAGGTATTAAAGCTTCATGTCTTACATTAGTGCTAGTCCTCTAACTGTGTTAGAGGATGAACAATATCTTGCCAAATTGAACCAAGAAATCAAAACAAGACAGAAGTCCGTTTTGTCCCCTGGAAAGGATGATACTAGAAATGAAAACTCTCTGTAATCTAGAATCTTATTGAAGGTTGTAGTACACTTTGCCTGCAGTTTTGCGTTCAATCTTTCTGTGCAGTCTTTGGTGCAGCGATATACATCTTTACTGTCTAACATCAGAACCGGAAATTATTAGTCACATATCTATTTCCTTGAGATTTTACTATTGTTACTCACCTTCCTAAACAAACCAGCCTTTAGAAACATTGCTCTCAGGCTTGAGACTGAATCTCTGAACCTTTTCAAACCATAGCTCCTAATATGGCTGCAATATTTATTCTTCTGTATTGACAGCCAAAGGTAAACATCTAAAAAGGTCTCAGGGCTTCTTTTAGAGTTTTACTGATTGATACTGCAACCCTGTTTAAAGTTGTAAAAATACATTAACAATGCAAATGAGGTGCTATAAGTGTGGTTCTAGTAAGTTCTGGATCTGTCTTGCTCTCTGCAACATTTATTGCCTTTAAAGCTTTTAAAGGTAGCTCCATCAAAACGACAGAGCTTTAAACCTGGGTACAGCCACACCATGGAGAATACCTGCCTCCATCCCTTGGATCCGGCATCTCATTCCTGTGGTTATAATTCTTATATCTACTTATCACCAGTAAACAAAGCTGATTCTTAAACTTGTCTGCTTAGCGGAGAAAGTGACCATGCTTTTCCACTGGAAAAGCATTGCCCTGCAGTCGGAGAGGCTGTTGATATTTAATAACACTAGCATACTCCTACTGTTCAATTCTGCAGTTTCAAACATTTTTTTATTTGGCTTACAAGTAATCTTCCTCATTGCATGCTGGAAAGTCAGTTCTTGTGCAGCCTTGTTTGTCACTTTTTCAGAAATGTTTTAAGAATTTTTTTCCTGACGTAATTTTAGATACAGGCAAGTTAAGGCAATGTCATTTTTTAATGTAGGAATGCCCTAATAATAACAGTTTTTTTAAAAAGATAAATACACAATAAAAATTACAAATGCTTAAGTTGGGGTTATTGTTAGTTTGGCATCCAGGAAGTTGGATCTTCCTTCATAACTTTGGTTTTCATTGTAACAATCCAAGTTGCTCCTATACTGTATGTCTTTTTGAAAACAAAATATTTTTATTTGAATAAAAAATGTTCACCTGGAAATATAAACTTTAACACTAATCTAAGCGTAGACATGCACATGTGTTACTTTCCCTAGTGTGAGTCTTACCTGACTCATTGGTTGTGAAGGTCACAGGGCTGCTGAACTGATTCCCATGGCCCACTCTGGTGTAACTGTACACACTGATCTCATAGGAGCTATGAGGCCTGAAGCCTGACAGATGCTCCATGGTCGATGAACCAGAGGAATTCTACATTTGTTTCAACACACAACCAAAATGAAACACACATACAAGATTTAGTTATCCAGACTTAACCGATGGAGTGGATAAGATCAGTGTATCAGCACATAAATGCGCACGTGCGTTTAGGAATAATATTACCACAGAGCAATACTTGGAGTGTGAAATTATCCCCCGTTTGTTTGATTCTTACTGAGTGGTTCTGTGGAGTGTGTGTGTGTGTGTGTAGGTTGGGTTGTGTGTGTACTGTTGTTATTGTGAAGAAGCTTTCAGTGTGTGAAATTAACAGTACCCGATGTGTGACGGTTTGTGTGATGAGGTCTTGGATCCTGAATCCGTACTTTATCACAACTCCATTAGGCTCTAGAGGAGGATCCCAGGTCAGCCACACGGAAACTGCTGTATGGTTGTATATAGTCAGGTTAGCGGGAGGGGTGGAGGGGCCTGGAAGACAAAGTTAGGAAAATATTTAACTTCACTTCAGCGTTATAGAAATCTGTTGGATCTGCTTTCTTAACATACCGCCTTCATCAGTGTGAAGCTGCACGAGCAGGCTAGGCCCTGAGCCTTTACGCGTCGAGGCTAGGATGGTGAGGTTGTAAGCCGTGTACGACACCAAGTCGGTAAGGATGACTGAGGTGTTGGTGGTCTGTGTTGTGTTGGTGCCTTCAGGTCCAGACAGAGTGAGGGTGTACTCTGTTATCTCTCCATTAGCCTCCAGAGGGCGTTGCCATACCACAGCGATAGAAGACGAAGAAAGGTTTCTAGTTGACAACAGCAATGGAGGAGAACTTGGACCTAATAAACAGACACATCCAATGATCAGAGTGGTGATACTAATATAAACTGGTTTGGAAAGGTACTGTAGGACGCTTTTCACATTCCTTCTTTACAACAACACATTTTAATGTACATTAATTACGATATAAATATGGTCAAAAATATAATTTTTTTATCTAATAAAATTATGTATTATGTAATTCCAAAAAAAGAAAGTTAAAAATAATCCACTGAACTTTGTTTCCAAGTTTGAAGACGTTTCGCTTCTCATCCAGGAAGCTTTTTGAATTCAAAATGTCAGGATTAGCGTTGAGTTCGAGGTTTTCTACAGAAGCCGATCAAAACCTTGTTTTTGCTTTTTAAAACATGCCAATTAAAACGGACGAAGGGGTCCACCCGTTTGGAATGGGGTCGTTTGGCTTCTTTTGTTAGCCTATAACCCATACCCGTCTAAGTCTCTGAAAGGGGGGGTCGTTAAAGGGAATTGTTGTTAAATTATTATCAACTTTCTTTTTTTGGAATGACTATGACCTGGATGACTGAGAATCTTCACCACCATCTGTAAAATGTAAAATTCTGTGTCATTTGGATTCAGACATTTTGGGTGAATACTTTTCACAATCACCTTTTGAGGCAGTTTCAGGTGATATTCTTTGGTGGGAAATCTACCAGCTTTCAAGAATTGTTCTATATTAGGAAAATCTTCCTATGAACTCTGACACAGCAAAAAAAACCAGCCTTCCCACATAAAGAGGATGCAACCACAATGCTCAGATTAAAGGTACAGTGGAGGATGTTGCTTTTCCAGGTGGATTATCAAAATAAGTGGTCCTCCTGATTACCAATCATTCTGGTGGTATGTTTACGTAAAGCCGTCCTACGTGCTCGTCCCCATTTTGGTGAGTCTGACATAGTGGAAAAGTTGCAAACCTTCTTTTGGAAAGCTTGTATGAGCAATGCAAACAGCAACTTTAAAACGAGCGTGCATTAGGAGAAATGGGCTTGTGCATGCTGTTGCACACACTTAACAAGAGGGTGTGGGTACAGGGTTTGCCATGTGCATTTTTTTGTGGAGAGGGTGGGTCTTTTAAAAAAATTTGCAAAGATCCTCCACTATATCTTTAAGATACACACTTGTTGACTTATTTCACTTGTACGGTGACTTCTCCAGCCAGGGTTTGCATGGGAGTTTATCTAAGAATTTAAAAAGGGTTCAATCTAACTAGAAGGAAGCTCTTCATATAAAAATTTTAACATATTATAAACTAAAGTTTATTTTTGCATTTTGACAAACATTATAGTTATCAGAGTTCTTTTGTAAGGTGCTCTCCTCAGTAAAATATAACCAGCTCATCTTGGCAAACCTACATAAATGAGAATGTATTACATTGAATTTTGGATGTAAGAAAAAATAAAATTCCATAGACTCACTGTCATCATCTGTTCTCAGGTACATTGTGCTTGTTTGGTTGTAGGCAGGACCAGCACCAGTTGCTGGAGTAACAGTCAGTACATATGGGAAATGCTTCCTTAGTCGGGTAAACAGGAAAACATTGTCTGTAGTAGTTTGCCTGATGGTTTTGTTGACAGCCAGAATCCCTTGGCTGGTCATATTTGGGAATATCCCTGCCTCCTGTAAGGTGAGTATGTAGTATGGACGTCCGTTTGGCTCAGTGGGAGGATCCCAGCTCACAATGATGGCCGTGGAGCTGAAATTCTGAGCCGTCAGGTTTGAGACTGGGTCACTTGGCACTGGAAAATGAAAAAAGTAAAACTGTGTTACTCTTACGCAAATACTACTGCAGTAACAAGTTAAACTGACGCTTAAACAAAGAAACTTCTAACAATGAGGGTGTCAATAATCAAAAACACAGTCGCATTTATTGGAAATAAACAGCAAATTGGTTAAAGCATTATTTTACAATTGACATTAATCAGAGCAGCTGAAAAGTGCATTTACAGTACTGGGAGACAGACGAATACTCAATCACATCAGCAGCACAACTTGTAATGCACATGGGGATGATGGGGTAAAAGTTCAACACTGAAAATATAGCAAAGTTAGAAGGAAAGTTAAAGAAATACTCATCCTTTTGTCAGCTCCTTCAGAAATACATCATGATACACAGAGTAGAAAAAAAGGTAAATAAAGGGGAATGTTAATTTTTAACCATAAGAACAAATAATGGTTATAAAGTCATTAGTCTATGACCCGGCGAGCGAGCCCCTGCTGGGCTTGGCTTGGCAGGGGTGACAAGTTGCCCTGGAGGTCCGATGTTTGGCTGATAGTGGAGCAACTGGAGCACAGGCAGAGATACAGGGTCAGTATGAACATACAGAGACAGAAAATACTTCACAGACAAAATATTAACTTTACAGAATCTGTTTGCTCTAAAGTCTGGTAGCAGTCTGCACTATTTTTCCCAAAATCACATAAAAACCTAGAGACTTTGATTCTTTTACTACAGCAAGCAAAAAATAACCACAATTAAATATGCAAACTTTATTGCTGTAGAAGCAATATCTTGGTATCATAAAACCAGTCAAACTTTCACAAAGCTTATTGGCTCCATGTTTTATCCAAAGTAACTTATATTTTCAGGTTTTTTTTCCATCCCTTACTTTTTTATGCATTTAAAAGTCATTTTTTTTGTCACTGCCAATCAGTTCTGAGTCACTGACAGTTTTCTCCTGCGACTGCCAGCCTGAAACCTGCTTTATTGCAGAGTTTTTATGTAATTTTATTTCAAGGTAAGAGGAGATGTGAAAAAAGGGTGCAGACTTGCCCTCCAGTAATGTTCTGAATTATTACTTGTATCATGTAGCCTTCAAAGACCTTTCAAATAAGTATTTATATTTTATTTATATGAATATATGTAGATATATGCAGTCTGGGGTTTGTTTGTGTTTCTGACTGACCGTCTTCCGGCAAGAGCAGGTTTATACGCTCTGACTGGACCCCCCCATCGCCCTGTATGGTGCTCGAAGTCATCCACATGGTGTAATTGCTGCCTCCGATCAGCTGAGTCACGGTGTAGATGAAGGGTGAGTTGGGAGAGTAACGGACAGGTAAGTCTGTCACAAGAACTCTCTGTGGGCAAAAATAGTGCTGTGATCATTTTTCACATAGTGAGTCAGGCATTTATACAATTGCACATTTGAGTTGGCATACAAAGATTTTAGAAATAATAATAAGGAAGGTATTGATCTCAAACAGGCCACTAAGACCCAGCAGGATATGTCATTCTTTCTGGCATAATGGCAAATTACCACTGCTTGCAATCTTTGAACAGACAACATTCAGTTTTTTTATGTGTTTCTCTTAGAAAATATTCTCTACTTACTGTTTGTTTGAGTACAAAAATCTGGCATGCATCTGTATTAAACACTAAACATTAATAACATGCCTAAACACTGCTTCCACCCATTAAAAAAAAATAAAAAAAATAGTGAATAGTTACAAAATGTACAAATAACCCCAATTCAATTATAAATGTTTTTTAAAAGCCTTAAAGATCTGTTGGAGAACACTAGGGAAAGGGAGGACCTTAAGGTTTAACACTTAATAACGAAAAAAGTTAAAGATACATTTAAAGCAGAGTTAAATTAGAAAATAAATTCTCAACCCTTGACAATTTCACAGAGAGCTATTCTGTCAGTTATCCTTTAATACATCAGTACAAAACAGCACACATGGTTAATATATTGATTTTGCACTGAAAATGGAGATTTGCATTGATTTCTCTAGTCTTAAATCAAAACAAAATGGCAGACTATATTGTTTAGCAGCATCCACACAGTGAAACTTGGTGGTAACAGCATGATGCTGGCAGGGATTCATTTGTTTTCAATAAAGACGGGGAAGTTGTTCATAGCTAAATAGAAGAGGAAGGGAGATAAATAGAGCACAGTAGTTGAAGGTTGTAAAAGAATTGTGATGGTTTAGAGGTTCACCCACTGTATTTGGGTCCTCGACCAACCTCCACCCTCACATTCACACTGTCCTTGTATTTTAATTTCACAACTGTTCTCTTCTTTATGTTGGTCCATCACAGAGTGGCCAATGAAAGACACTGAAGGTGTCTAACTACTTTAAACAAAACTGATTTTTTTTTTACTTAATAGTTTTCTGTAAGATTAAAATAGAAAAAGAAAAAAAAAAGAAATATGTTTGGGAAACCATAAGATTAATCATTTATTACAATTCTATAGGAGTGCTGTGCTGGGAGAAGTATGAATTTAAAGAACAATACCTTAGCCAAACCTTTGATTTACCTTTTCTGTCACAGTACCGTTATCAGTGTAGTAAATAGTGTAGTGCACAATGATCCCATTCGGTTCAGTGGGTGGTTGCCACATCAAGGTGACAGAGGAAGCAGTCACATTGACAACTGTCACATTCTGTGGTGGGTCAAATGGCTCTGAAACACACGACAGGAGTTTGAAAGAACATATGGTTTGAAAGAACATCATGCTGAAATACACAAAGAAAAACATCAGTTTGTATGTGAAGCAACAATAAAGCCAGCTGTCTGCAGTACCTGCTTCTGTGGTGGTGAAGCTGATATAGATCAGCACCCCTCCATCTCCCAGTCTAGTCCAGCTGGAGACAGAGGCATTGTAGCGACTCTCTGAATCCACATTAATAACCACCGACGTCTCTGTCACATTCTGCCACATTTCAGTAGTTTCATTCCTAACAAACGGAAAACAACTGATGATGCACTGTCAGGTCTTTTTCTAATAAACTTCAGACTTGCAAAGAAGAAAATAAAAAGAGAGTAATTATGATTTCCAAACTCACCAAACTCTGACAAGGTAGTAGAGTATTTCTGAGTTGGCGTTAAGTGGTGGCTCCCATGACAGTTCTACCTCATAGTCTGATAACTTCCTGGCTTGGAGAAACTGAGGGGGAGTGTCTGGAGCTAAGATGCAGGAGAAAAACTTTCCAGTGTTGCAAAACAAAGATGAACTGAAAAGGTAGGTGGATCAACTTTTGAAAGATTGGGAAAAGTGCAAGGCAGAAAAATGTGACTGCTCCCATACAAACGCAGAGCGAGGAATGGAATACTCTCCTAAAACAAAAAACTCTGTTAGTATGTAGATGTTTAGACTGTGACTCTGGATGAGATGAATGGGGATGCCATAGGCTGAGAAACCTGTGATGTAACATCAATAGCTTTAGCTAAAACAGAGATTAAAACAGGTAGAAAAAACTGGCTGGAAAATTAGGTTTTATCAGATAGCATCTGAAATAATCATTCAGATGTAATCCCACCAGGAGCTGGAAATTAACCAGAACTCCTCCCCTTTTTTTTTTAAAAAATTCCCAAAACCCAAGCCCATCCCTCTCACCATCCTCAAGTGTGGTGATGTTGAGTGGCTCGCTGCTGAAGTTTCCTGGCCCTGCCCGAGTGTGTGCTTGAACCACGATGCGGTATTGAGCATATTTCCTCAGGTGCGTGATGTGGAGGAAGGTGGTCGGTGAGGTGAGGTTCAGGTAGTGTGTGGAGTTCCAGAGCTCCAGGCTGTAGTGAGTAACAACCCCGTTTGGCTGCAGGGGAGCGTTCCATGTCACATTCACCTCACTGGGACTGACTGACTCATAGGACAGTCCGTATGGAGGACTACCTGGAACTAGAGAGGGGATAAACATTTGGTCTGATAGCTTGTAGAGCTCCTTGAATGCAATGTATGCATTTGTAAAGACTGCCTTGCAAAAGTATCAAACACTAAAAAGTTTTCACTTTTTGTCATGTTACAAACTCAAATCACTTTTAATTTTAATTTATTTAACTGTAAATAGCATTGCTTATACTTTCTTTTTAAATGAAATATGAATAAAAGATGAAAAGCATAGAGAGCATTTGTATTCCACCTGTTGTGTCTGATACCCTAAAATGATGTAGTATAAATCCAGTATCACCAACTTTAAATCAAATGCAGTATCATATATATATATATAAAAAAATCTGTTTTTATTTGTAATCTCATATATAAATGTTCGTAGACATAGTGAAGCTGTTTGTAGTTGACAGGAAAGTGGTAGAAACAAAATAAGGAGACAATCCAGCAAGAAAACCTGTTAATACATGAAAGATACATAGACAGCACCTGGTGGTTCAGTAAGTACAAACGTAACTGTACTTGCAGGCAACAAAAAATTCATCTGAAGGCATCCAATGACTTTCTTAATGGTATGGTTAAAATCTTATTGGAACTATTTGGCGAAGGACTTTTACAAATGCTTTCCATGCAGTTGAACTAAAACTAAGGTATTTTGCAATGAATTAATGCTGTTTATTACTATTCACCCTTTAGTACTCCACAAAACAAAAATGTAACTTCATTTTAGGTTATAACATGACAAAATGTGGCCAAATTCAACGGGTTTAAATAAAGTTTTACAGCCTCCAACACACCATCTTCTCCAGACAGCAGGTGCAAAGTTTCAGATGTTTGGTTGCCATTGCCGTAGCGTGTGTACGCCCTCACAGACACGTTGTAAAATGAGAAAGGTGCCAAACTGATCAGCGTGACTCTGTTAGAAGTGGTGTTCACCATCTCAGAGTACGAGTCGTTTTCATAGAAGACCTCATAGTACTGGATCACTCCATTAGCTCTCTGTGGGGCAGACCAGGTCAGAGTGGCTGTAGATGGACTCGTTTCTACCACAGAGAGATTATCAGGAGGGGAGTCAGGTTCTAAGAGGGAGATATACAACATAAATCACAAAGAGGTTTTTAGGGTTCAAGTTAAAAAAAACACACAACAGCCGCTCAAGTATTTATACTTCCAAATTTTAGAAGGCCTAATAATGCTTTTTTAATTTCCATAATAGTTTAATTCTTTCAACATTGAAAGTCAGATTAACATTTTGATGTTTTGGTAGATTTATGTGTTTTCAGTGATAATTTCATACCGTCCTCTAAAGTAAAAACAAAAACATCATCCTCCTCTGACAGAGAGCTCTCTCCCACCGCTGTAGATGCAGCCACACGTAGCTTATAGCCAGTGTACTTGTCCAGATCTACATAGCAAGGCAGACAAAAAAACAAACATGCATTAATCTTTTACACATGTAGGCTCCAAAGAACATAGATTTAAAAAAGAGAACTAAATATCTTCACAAAAATATTTATAATTTTGAACTGAATGAGCTCTCTACCTGATATTAGCATGCTGGTGGTGTTAGTAACCCACTTTAGGGCTTGATTGCTGCGCAGATTGAGACCATATATGCTGTAATGTGTGATCCGCCCATTGGGATTGATTGGTGGGACCCAACTTACTAGAATTGATGTGGAACTGATATTTTGATAGGACACTTCTAGCACAGAGCTGGGAACTAGAAAGAAAAGGCAAGATATGCTGCAGATTAAGAAACTCTGTGTTTTGGCTCCTGTTTCTAGAAAATGTTGATTTTGTTCGTACCCTGCTCACTGGTCTTCTCAGTGATATCTGTAGCAGGCCCTTCTCCTGCAGTGGTGGAGGCAGTAACTCTGAATGTGTAATCAGTAAAAGGATTTAGATCCGACACCACGTACGAAAGCTCCTCGGATAAAACATCCACCACTTCTTCTCTTACTGTTACACCTGGACAAGTGGTCAACAAGAACATGTTGTCCATGACGGTATATTTAAAGCAGAAGAAAAACTAAGGTAAAAAAAAAAGTTGTGTTTAAAGTAAATGGACCTGTAGTTACTGCTGCGTTGCGTGTTGAAATTCGTCCTGCAGAGGATGCGTCACGTGTGGACAGGCGCTGTTGACCTGGAGTCAGGCCCATGTTAGAAACAGCTGAGGTCACCGCCTCTGTGTGTGACTGCTGTATGAGCCAGGATGGAAGTGTGTTAGGTGACACAGAAATCACGGACATTGCAGACGTCCTAGATTCGACATTCAAAGAGGGTGGAGTGACGTTTTTTGACTCATAACCCGGGCTGGACTCATCAGCGAGCGCAGGGTGCAGAGTAGGCTGAAAATCTGTGTTAGTAGAGTGATCAGTGCTTCTATTTTCTGAGTGGTGAAAGCTGGAAGCAGTCATTGCGGTGGGTGTAGTGCGAGCTGAGATTGTAGCCGTAAACGCTGGTGGAGACGTGACGGGAGTGAGCTCATCAGATCTCTTTCTCCGCCTCAGAAGGTTGTCGACAACAGGATGATTTGTTTGATTCTCAAAGAAATCTGTTATATTCTGAGGGCAGAAAGAAGATAAAAGTTAAGTCCTATTTAGGTCATAGATAATAAATTATTTAAAATCTAAGTTAGGTTTGAAATAACAGCCATGATTTACAAGTTCTGCAATACATATTACTTAAGACGCAAGGAAAATCTGTACCAGTGCGAAGCAGGAAGTGTAGTTAAGTTTGTGTTTAGAAACAGTATAGACTAAGAAACATTTGCTAGATAAAAGGTACATGTCAGACTAAAATGCGAATAAAAAAAATAAAAAAAACTATTTCTTTTTTAAATAAACAAGATTGTTGTGACATCTAATAGTTCAAGCAGTTAAAAGAGGAAAAACTAAAAGGAACGTTGAACACTATAGCTACAACTTTTTCTTAAAAAAAAAAAAAACTGTTTTTCTAGTTATTTCACATCCACAGGACTTGGATGTATTTTTACTATAGTGGTGCAGATAAAAATCTTATTTTAGCAAAAATTTTATTTAGATTTAATGTTTTTTTACATTGAAACTGTACAATATATAAAATGATAATTCCTCTTGTGTTAATGCTAAGGTCAACATGAAATCGACATTAGTAGTGTTATACACAAGATTCTGCACCAAAGGGGTAGTAAAGTAGGATAAAATCATGTGAGCTGGGCTGGGCGTTGCCAGATTGTAGTAGCTTCATGAGAGCGCTGAGAAACTGCTTCTTCTTGTTGTTTACATTTCTCAGATTGAATTGGACCAAAAAAGAAACAAACAAAAACAGTACTTTTTTTATGTTAAAATGTCTGTGCCTGGCCTCAGTTAAAACCTGATGAAGAGTCTGAAGTGGTTCTTTTGTTTGGGTTTTGGCCAAAGAAGCCCAAAATGGCTTTTGGATTTTGGTTTTCCTCCTTGATTTCCATCATTACATCGTGGAAAGGTATTAAAGCAGGGGTCTCAAACCGGTTCCAGAAAGGGCTGTGTGGCTGCAGGTTTTCTTTCCAACCAAGCAATAGCACACCAGACTCCAGTCATCCCATGAACTGTGTGCAATCTGAACATGATGACTTGATGAGATGAAGAGAGTCTGGTGTGCTGTTGCTTGGTTGGAAAGAAAACTTGCAGCCACACGGCCCTTTCTGGAACCGGTTTGAGACTCCTGTATTAAAGTAAACCCAATTGCTTTTACCATGATTCCATCAATCAGGGTAGTCGGTTGTTATTGTTTGTGTAACTTTTAAACTGTTGTGTTAGAGACAGAGAAACAATGGTAAACAAGCCATTGGCAAGCTGCCTATGTCGATAATGATACGTCCCCATGTAGTAAATGAAGAGCACAAAAATGTGCATACACATAAATTCTGTTTTTAAGGTGTATAAAAAGGTCCAAAATGAGTTATTAAAAAAAAAAAATGTCAAAGACAAGTTCAAAAGGATTTGATATGTAAAATATCAGGCTACAACTTCTTTAATGAAAAATTGATTCAAAAAATGAGGGAGGTTTCAGTTTTCCTGGGCAAAGGTATAAGTTAAATATTTGCCAATGTCAACTCCCTGGCAAAGAGTAAAATTAAAGGTTAGAATAAGGGCAGGTAAGCACAAGCTACTTACTGGCCAGTAGAGCTAAACGTGTAGCTATTCTCCTTTTAACAGTTTACTTAAAACTGAAAACTGACTTTTTTTAGCAACAGGTTAAAAGGTGTAGAACTTTTTGAAGCCACAAGTAGAGAAAATTGTACTAAATTAAAAGCCGCTTTATAATTTCTTTAAGAAAGTCTGGTGATGTAAAGAAAAATAAAGCTTGTACATTTAAAAGATGTATTTGAGACATGTTTGAAAAGGACTCACTATGCCACACATTGAAACTAACAAGATATGGCCATCCAATAAAACAACAGGATGGGCAAGAGCAATCTGTTTGCATGACAGCAATAATTTATATACTCCATAAATCTAGGATATATGGAAGAAGGGCAAGAGGAATGTCAATACTTAATGCAGTTGCTGCATTTTGTAACGAGGTACGCAGAAGATACAGCCAATGCAAGGACGAAAGTGCTCTTTGCTGAGGATGATTTTTTGCTGAACAGATGATTTTTGTGAATTTCATGCAAAACACTTCATGCAGAGAGAGTCAGTAACCCTTCAATATGGCCCACGGTCTGTGAACAACTGAATCCAAGCACAGGTGAAGGAAAAAATGTCACAAGGGAACAAAGATGGACATGTAAAGAGAGGTTTCACAGGGTCATACAGATAGATAACGTTGGGATGGGATAGAGGCTAAATACAGGTAAGAATATCAGGAAGTCAGGTTGTATGGAACAATTATACTGTTAACTATTCATAGTAAGAACACTATCCAACCTCTTTTTGCACTAAACTGTATTTTTGCTAGTTTTAAGGTAGAAGATCAAAGCTGTGGAGACAATAATGTTTGCCTCACCCCTGATGTGAGGGTGATGTCCTGCAGCAGAGTACTGTCAGCCAAGACCTGCAGCCTGTATCGAATTATGGGACCATTGGGCTGGGCAGGGCTTCTCCAACTAACACGAATTGAAACTGAATCCTCGGCCACTGCCTCCAAGTTCCGAACTGCGCTGGGTGCTACGGACAGAAACAAGTTGATCCAAATATTTCTATGAAGGCTTTCTTACTCAAAAAAACATAAGTGTAACATGAAACATTTAAGTGCTTTTTATCATTATTATTATACCTTCAGCTGGTGTTGTTAGAACCTCCTCAGCTGCTGGTCCCACCTCTCCAGCTGCTTTAGCTCGGACAGCCACAATATACCTTGTATAGGGAGTCAATCCAGTAAAAAGGAAACGCATGTCCCATGTGCTGTTTTCATACAAAAACCCTAAAACAAGAAAAGGATTCTTCAGTTTGTGTTAGGTTTTTTCATTTATTGGATTACTTTAAATATTATTTAACCTGTAGGTCCATAAAGGTAAAGCACATAGCTGAATTTTCCAGTGATGATGGTTGGAGAGTTCCACGACACAGAAATTGACCTAGATGTCATGTTCAACACTGATAGGTTTTCAGGCGAATCTTCCGGTGCTGACATGAGAAATTAATTAAATTACAATGAAAATTTTCAAATACTCATTTACAATAAAGATTTAGGGCTGTTTGTTGATTTCCACACACCTGATTCTGGCATGCGAACCATGGTGGAGGCTACCTGTCCCTCTCCGTCAGAGGTGAAGGCAGAAACCTCAAAAAGATAGGCAGTGTAAGGTCGCAGCTGATCCACTCCTACTGATATAGGCACGTTCCAAGCTGCTGCGGGTGGCACGGCAGAGAGGGTGATGGGTGGAGATGAAGCTGTTATCTCCAAGGGGCTGGGAGTCGCTCGTGACAAGATATCAGCCGCATCCTGGAGACATCAAATTATGCAGAGAGAGAAGTTTTCCAGGATAATTCTGGATAAAAGTTCAGCTTTTATGAAGGGGATCTAGTACATTGCAATGAGGGAGGGCTCCAGTCATGATTTCCTCTGCATTGACTTCCAGCATGCGAACTGTCTGCCCCGTTCGAGCATGCTTTGCTTTGACAGCAAACTTTGTGATGAGGCCATTTATGCGGCGTGGCAGGAACCAGGTAACCATGACAAAGGTGTGATTCTGAGCATACGCCGTCACATTGGTCACCAGGCCAGGGGCTGTGGGGAATCACAGAAAAGCACAAGTTTGACCTCACAGAAGTGTTATTTTGAATGCATGTAGGGGATGTTTTACAACTCACGTGACTCAGATGTCTTTATGTACAAAGGTTTGCTGAATGGCCCTGTCCCAGCTGCAGACATAGCTGCTACCTAAACAGAGAAAGACGAATAGTTTACAGCATCAATACAGTATATTTCACTTTAAGGTAGTGGAGGATCTTCACGAATTTTTGAAAAGACCTGCCCTCTCCACTTTAGAAAAATAAAAATACACATGCACAACCCTGTACCCACTCACGAAAGGGAACGCCATGCCTGAGCTTGCACAAGCGCATTTCTCCTTGTGCACGCTTTGTTTAAAAGTTATTGTTTGTATCGCTCATACAAGCTTACTCTTCAAAAGTAGATTTGCAATTTTTTCCACCATGTCAGACTCACCACCGGTAAGTTAAAATGGGGAGGAGCACGTCGTACGGCTTTATGTACACATATCACCGGAATCAATGAAAATTAAGGGGGTTAACTTATTTTGATGATCCGTCCGGAAAAAGGAGCATTCTCCACTATACCTTTAATAAAGCACCAACATGCATTGCTGTTATAAAGTGACTCAAAACCAGATGTAAACTAAAGATGTAGATGTGTTTGAAGAAATAATTTTATGTATTAAATCAGGAGGATTAGGAAATCTGGTAGTCTACAGTATTACTATGGGCTGCAAATATTAAATAAATCTCACTGTATAGCTTGTCCTTTGTGGCTCTTGCGAGTGGTGTTTAGCTTCCAGGCCAGCAGGACCCTTTTATATCTAAAGGTGATTGCCCCTTTAAGTGTTAACGCCTCAAGGCTTCCCAGTTATTTTGCCTGGAGCACTCCCTCTTTAAACATCCCAGTAAACATATCTTCATAGGGTAAATAATTGTCAAACAGGATTTAAACTTTAACATGATCAAACTGAGGAACGGCACAAAACAACAGGGGATCATTGTCTGGTAGTCACTGCAGGTGTAAAACAAGGGAAAAAATGAGCCATGAAAAACATTTCTAGTTGGTTCTTACAGTAGCTCAGAGATCTCACTAAACCACGTTTCACATCAAATTGCTGTCAATCGGATAGAATGTGTCATTATTTGGTGTGCAGCCCTACTGTAAGCAGCCTGCTCGCTCTTAATGCCAAGATCACAGACATATGTCCCCTCAAACCTGGCCCCTGAGAAGAGTAACTGTACTATTATTATTTATATAGGCTGTTATATCCATATAGCCTTACCTGTAAACTTCCCATTTTTTTTCTTTTGAAATTTTAACCCCAAGGAAGATGAATGCTTTTATGCTGACAAAAAAATTTGTTTTGCTGCAACTAATCTGACTTCTTATTGCATGGGTAGGAAAAGCTATCTGTATTTAATGAAAAAGTATACACATCTAGTAATTTACCAACCTAGATCTATGCAGCACTTCTGGAGTAACAAAAAAGTTCCCTGATTATTAAAGCCTGCCATTCAGACTAGGGGGTTGTACTATCTAGTTGTTCTAGTTATGTGCTGCTGATGTTCAAATTAATTTTACATTATAGCCAAACATGGCTTTGAATCTTAACTCTGTCTTTATTGTAGTGATTTCTTCACTAGGATTCACTAACAAAGTTCTGATGCCTTCACAGAGGCCTTCAGCTGCTGCATTTATTTGGACATTGGTTTTAAAGTATTATACTTCAGTGTTTTAGAGCAAAGTGGGCTGAAGGCAAATACGCGCCACACTTTTCAGTTGATTCTCTTTTTACTTCCCCAAGATGACAATATTTCCAATAAAAAAAACAGACATTTTGGGGGTTTAATTTGAAAAAATATGAAGGAAAATTTTAGAGCATCATAACCTTTTATCAGACAGTGTCTATTCTTCTCAAATTAAGCAGCCATAGTCTAATTTAACACCTTCAGAGTTATACCCCAGTAGCTCCCTCTGGTCACATACAAAGTTTTTCAGAAAAATTACTGCATCATACTTCCGTTTTATTTTTATATCTATTTTTGTTTTGCACTTTGTTTTTGTTCAATTTATTAGAAAATAAAGCCCCTCTGTGTATATTTACCATAATAACACAATCTTATCAGAGGTACAACATTGCACAGGTGCATAATTGGAAAACAACTTGAAACAATGGAGGCAAGGAAGTGTGGAACCACTAGTGGAGTTGCAAAAACAGTGAGGCAAAATTAAAAATGTGTGAAAAATAGCCAAACAAAATGTGATTCCTGGAGGGATAATATTTCAATAGCGCTCAACTACAGTATTAACTTTGGGTTTTACTGAAACTGCAGCTAAAGCTATAAAGGCATTAGTTAGAGGTTAATGGATGCGTGGGTAAACATCCTTACTAATACTGATACTAGTGATAGTAGTGCTATATTTGATGTTGAGTTTTTAGAATAAACACAGACAGCCTTATGAATTGATTCATTGATTAAAATAAATGGGGGTGGGTGGGTTCTGGACTTCTATCTAGGCTTAGAAAGGATTGTCTTAACACTATCAGGACTGAGGGTTATATCAAATAGTTTTTTGTCTTCTTTGTAGAGTATATAAAGTGACTATGCTATGACTCCTAGTGGCAAAGGTGACACCTTTTCAGTGGTCCAGGAATTGTGTGCAGCTGCATTCATAAGCTGGAGAGCCAACACAAATGATGAGGAGGTGAAGTAACCCGATACATGAACACGCTTTCATAATCCCATATGAACCCTCAAACAAATCCTGTGTGTGCAGGTATAATCAGCAAGTGTGTCAGTCTCTGAGTCCATTTGTATAAAGGTCACGGTCGGTTAATGGATTCTGAAACTAATAAGCATGATCGCATTCAAGCTCAGTGACAACAGGCAGTGGAAAGAGCCTTTGCTGATCCATAGATCTGTTTACCTGATTAATAATGTAATCGGGATCAATTACCTGCATTCTTTTCAAATCAGATCACAAGGTCCTTTTGTGTTATCTGCCACAAAGCCACATGATAAGACAGAGGAAATACTTCCAGGAATGTTTGCTCAGAGGCAGAAAGGATAATTACACCTTCCAACACTTTTGAAATTATTTGGTCAATTGGCACTTATGTCCAACTCTGAGATTAGTTTTATAACACCTAACTCCTTTTTAATAAGCCAACCAAAGAAGAGTCCTCATGAAAAATTTGGTAAAATTGTTCATCCTACCTGGATGTGGTATGTTGAACCTGAGGTAAAGTCTGTGATTAGAGTCTCTGGTACATCCAGGTACTTGGTCACCTGTGTGAAAGAGGGATCAGGATATGGGCAAACCTCCTTGTACCTACAAAACAAAGAAAAAGAATAATAGCAATACCATATTTCAAGATTTCCCTTCTTTGTAAATAGTTTTCACTTTAATAGCAAAAAGTAAAATTGTGATTTAGATCGATAAGCTGAACTGATATTTAATTACTCAAAATATTATGTAAGTAGGCAAGGTAAATTCTTACTAAATGCGCTTATTTATTAAAAATAAAAATAAAAATTTGTAATCTGGTAAAATATCTATTTGTATACAACAGAAAGCAACAATTACTGCTGCAATGGAAAATATGACCTACAATATAAGAACGGCTATCTTTGAGAAAATGGAAGTTGCTTTTATTGGAAGAAGAGGGAAATGTAGAAAGCTTCTTTTGTCCAGCTGACCAACAGTAGCAGAAACTAAATTCTATCTCACTGCCTTTTATTGAAAAAACTGGAAAAGGATAGAAAGGTAGATTGAAAATATGATCAGTTTTGAAAACTGTTCAAAATCTTTGTTTAAACCTAAAGTATAATTACCTTAAAGGAATTAAGTAAATCTAGACAGAATCTGGCTATTTTACTTAATTTTACTGTTAACTATCTAAGGATACATAAGAATATATACACATACATAATCATGTATATAAACTTTGTTTAGAGACCAGCTTGAACCGTATTTTCTCAAAACTTTAGCATATCTTTTGTTCATTATTTGGTTGATATAGGTTTTGGAAAAATGCTAAAAATCAAAATATAGTAACAATGATGTGAAGGAAACTCTCAGGTTCCCTATTTACAGATTAAATCACTTTGTGTGGATATAGTGTTTGCTTGAAGTGTTAACATTACCGTCTATTACATCACAGCATTAGATGAGGAATGTTTGGCTTGTTATAAAAAAACATGTTTTTTATGTTTAATATATCTATTTAATTCTATAATGGACATGTATTGCTTTTTTTGAATAAGGAACTGTGAAATGATCTAAAGAAAAAAACTAAGTATTTGACAAAGCTGTAATAGCATACAGAGTTTTTCCATAACAAAAAAAAAAGCTTCAATACTTCTGTAAGAAACTGCAACTTGATTTTCTCTTGATATTTTAATGCACATATCTTACAGTATACGTTCAAAGGGGCAAATCCACCTAGAATGTAAAAAATAGATATTAACCTGAATTTGGCAATAGCCAATAGTTCAGCCCATATAAAATAATTCTGGCTGGGCCAGGGCATCAAACATTTGGATTCTACTATATAAGCTAATTTAAGATGATAGTTTTCTGTTAAAGGAAATTGAGTCCCAATTATTGCTAAGACATTTCAATGTTTGAAAAATATATAAAGAAAAGGAGCAAAAACTACCTGATTACATATCCATCTATATTTGCACCAGGTTGCATGGTCCATGACAATAGAATCCCATTAGACCCAACAGGTTCTCCCTCGAGGGCTTGTGGAGGACCAGGTACTACAGAAACTTGGAGAGAACCAGGAACAACATTATTCAAATAAGCAAATCTTATAAATTTGTCACTCAAAATGACCATCCGTAAAAAGAGTTTGGTACAAATTGGACAGATTATCATGACTGCAAACTCTTCTGACATAGTATGAGCTATATTTAAAGAGTAGCAAAGCTGGTTTTAGTGGAAGGTATGCATGTGTGGGAGTCTAAACATCCACATTGTATGTGGCTAAAGCCTGATGAATAAGTCTTTACACAGCAGTGGCATTTCACTGACATTCACTCCAGACGCATTCATCCGGGGGTTCAAAAGCTCTGGTTAAAGTTACCTAAAAGGAGTTAAAGCAATGAAAGAAGTACACAGATCCAAACACACACATTATCTCCCACTCAACTCATCCTTTGCCATGTGCCAGGGCAAAAACCAGAGAAGACCCTGATTATACATTAAACTGCATAATTAAATCAGGCATATTCAACAATTAGCTTTGATCGTAAAACCATCTCACCGCTCTGTTTGGTAAGGATGATGCGACTCACTCCAGGGCTACTTTTTGATGCGGAGGCTGCAGAGACTGTCACAGAATACTGCGTCCCAGGAGTAACATCCACCACGTCAGCCTGTGGACACAGAAAAGCCCACACCTTGTCCAAAACCATCAGTGAAAGCACACACTGTTTTTATATCTGATTTACTATCTGGGTTCCAACATGCATTTTTTTTTTCTATTTTTCAAAGTATGTTACTTTTAAATTTTCCTTGCTATTGAACAACAAAAAATGTCTACCTGTACATAGAGTTGCATTGCTGTAAAAAAAAAAAACAGTACTTTTTGCAGACAGCGCAGTATGTTAAAAATTCCCTTATTGAATTGTGGTTTGCTTTATTTATTTGCATATTATGTGTTATCTATGATTAACCAAAGCAGAGTTCAGTTACACTCAGTGACTCGGTATCCTGTAAGGAATGTACAATTAAGAAATCAGTTAATCTTTTCATTATCTATGTTTTTGGTCATTGTTTTTTTTTTTTTTTTTTAACTACTATTTACTTTTTTTCAACTTGTAAAGTTGTAGACATGTCAACTTAGGTCCACAGCATCCGAATAAGTAAAAGGCTTACACATCTTACATGTACAAGGAATTGCTTTGGTGATAAAGTACATAGACAATCATAAACTTGTCATTAAGAATTTTGGAAACTTATATTGTAGAATAAGAAATGCAGATTGTATAGGGATTATATGAAATTAAATAAAAATGTGCAACTTTTTGATAGGAAGAGGACAATACACTAAAAAATACGACGTTAATTGAATAGTGGTGCTTGTCTTTAGATATTCAAATAATTAGCAACAGAAAAGTGACATTTGGGGAATCAGGCTTTGTTTTTTTAGGCTAACTCCAACGTCCTGCAACAAAAGCAGCTTCCAAGAAGAAGCTGCTTTTGTTGCAGGACATTTAGGTCCTTAGGGACCTCACCCTACTGTCAGAGGGTAAAGTCTAGAAGAGTTTTTGTCCTGGTTGAGAGGGGTCAGCTGCAACCTGAAAGTTTATGAAGAGACAAAGATAAACCTGAAGCTCAATGCAAAACAATATATGCTTGTGTATTATGGTACATTCATAAACAATCACATCTTTTAAAGCACTTGAAAATAACAAATTTTAATGATAAATTGCATAATAAAAGTTACCTAAAGGGACATTCAGACTGGTAAATTTAAATGAGATCCACATCTAGGTATAAGTTTTTAAGTATAATTCTAATTCTTCACACTTCATGGATGCAGACACACACACACAAAAAAATAAAAAATCCAAAGACGAACAAAATAACAACTCCATTTAACATTTGGTAAAAGAATCTTGTTGATCCTGAAGGCCTTTTAATATAGTATTTGAGCTTTAGACTGATAAGAGTAAAGTTCAACTTCATATTACACCAGGTGTAAAATTAAATCAGCATACAAACGGATTTTAATTAGGTCATACCTGTCTGATATAGAAATAATTTGATGAATATAAATAGTTAACTTTGACAAAAAAAATAAAAACAAAATTAATCTGTTTTAAGCAAAACTGAAAAGTATGCAGATCCTATATTATTGGGAGGTAAAATGGGTCAACAAGTGTGTCACTGAAAGTGACGCCAACTAAATCTCTAAACAGGTCGGTGTCCTATAGCTGCAGGTCAACCCCACAATTCTCTCCCTATACTCCACTGTTTAAAAAGACTCTCCATGCAACTTTTAAGTAAGTACACGTTAAAGAGAAAGTTAGCAAATTCATTGTACTGAATGTTCCCAGCACTTTCCAAGCTAAACAAATCATTTCTGCACTCAATTCCACCACTGTATACATTTGTGAAAAGATCCCCAGAGATTTGGGAGAAAAAAATGTCACTGAATAGTTATGATTTCAGTATTTTCTATTATTTTGCCACATTTGTATTTCCACTGGAGGTTATGAAAACCCAGTGTTTTTGTTAGTTTCTTATTATTCCCAAATTCCAGTCCAGAGTCATGCATTTTCCATTATTGTACCAACTTAGGCCTGGCAAAGGAAGTTGGATATGTTTTAATGGAAAGCTTTGCAGAAAACCAATAACTTCCCTAAATGAAAAGGAATCACTAGGTCAAAATTTTCTTCAAAATCTCCACAACCATGTATACTGTAACCTGTCGATTTAAACTATATTCTGTAAATGGAAAAGCATTTTTGAAAATGCTCAAAAGGTGAAGGCCAAAGCTACATTTTAGAGTAAAAGACACTAATATTCTGAAACTATCATTATTTAGGACTGTAATCCATGACTAAGAAGAATAAAGGTAGTAAAGAATACAAAAACCAAGCACTCATGAGAGGAGGAAAGACAAAATCTAAGAAAACAAGAGACAGCAAAACAGACAAACATAATGCAATTACAACGGTGAAGCCCCAAAGAAAAAAAATGTAAACTCTACAGAGAGGAAACTGGGAACAGTTGCAAAAAATGGACTATATTTTTTTCTCCAATAAAATACGGTATATTAATGATTTCTTTACTGCATATGCTCAGTTAGACCAAGATCCTTTAGATTTATAGAAAAAAATTACATTTTTTAGATTAAACTTTCTTTCTTAAGCTGTATTTTTGTTGTACTGTCCTGGCCATTTGTATGAATTAAACACAAATTAGATTTACTTTAGAGTGATATTGTTAGATTGTGCTGAACTCTGTGTTTCTAGAGAGAAATATTCTTTCGTCAAAGCTGGCATCTTGGGAATGGTTGCAGCAGCGTCCTCAAGCTGGAAAGCTCCTTAAAGTCCAGGGAAGTGTAGCTGCAGTACTGAATGTGCAAGTTTATTTAAAAGCTTATGTGAAAGTTATTTTTAAGCCCGTTTATCCAATATAGATGGATATAAAGGCTTTATTGTGAAATTGCTAGATAATAGCAATATCATAATAAATCGGTTATTTAAAACTCATGTTGTATTTGGTATAACTGTTTCACCACGAAAAAATAATAATAAACAATTCAACTCATTCTTAAGCTTGTGGGTTAAATTCCTGCTTTCTCCTACAACACCTGGCAAGATACTTTAATGCAAACTAACCCATGAATAAGTATATGGATTTGTGCATATGGGGAGTGGGAGCCTAGTGGTTAGGGCATAGAGCTTGAAATCATGAGGTTCTGAGTTCAAGCCCCACTGCCACTCTGGGTCTCTGAGCAAGACCCTTAACCCGACACTGCTCTCCGGACGCCTCACGATGGCAGCCCACTGCTCTCCAAGGGGATGGGTTAAATGCAGAGGTAAATTTCTCCAATGTGAGATTATTAAAGTTCAATTATTTTTATTTATTATATATTTCAGTTCAACTGGATAAATATCTTATAAACACTGCTTGTTATAATAACCGATTAAAGTGCTTGATTTAAGTACCCGCAGTGGGTAATTAAATCAAGCACTTTAATCAAACAATCTACATTTTATGCCATTTCCTACAAAGAAATCTAAATATCAATGTCTAAATGCATCAGTCTAATGTACAACTAGCAAGGTACTACTTTAATGTTTAAAAATATTTAATCAATAAAGTCAAACTCTCACTATTGTAATTAGTCTCTTAAATGTAGGCATGCTGATTCCTTGAGGTGGCAGCAATAAATGTGAGAAATTGGTCTGAACATAAACAGCGAGGGGTTCACTGTCATCTAGTAGTATCCACCTCTTATTTATGAGATTAAATTAAAGAAAATGCTTTTAAAAATGAATGCAGCTATGGACAGGGCGTTTTCAAAGTAATCAGGTTCCTTGAAGATTCTGCACATTAAAACACTGAAACTTCTCTAAATCTTTTTTTTTAAAAGCCTAAAGCTGAGTCTCATTGGATGGGGAGAGCTAGGGAGCATTTTTTAAAGTACTGAAGCATATTTTCAAGAGGATTTTGATTTAGACTATTACTGGGCCGTTCTAAGACATAAATACTATAATATTGTAGAGCTTCTGCTCCATGTTTCAGATTATTTTACTGCTGGAATGCTAACCTCCGCCACAATATTCAGTATTTTGTAGCCTTGAACAACTTTTCTTCTAAGATGAACCTGTCTAGGTTGAAGTGAACTCCCCCAATGGAGCTGCCAACACCATTTTTTACAATGGAAAACCAAAAGAGATAGGTTTGATCTTAAAAGAATCTAAATAAAGACGGCTAAACTGTGTGCCAAGAAAAATTATTCTCAAGCCAACACCCTGCTGTATGACTTTGAAACTGGTTCAGTTGTCTTTGTTTGCTCTTGACTCCCCCCCACAAAAAAAAAAAAAAAAAAAAGATTTACAGTGAGATTCAGTCGAATCAGGATTTACGTCCACATACTCCTCAAAACAAGGTTGGGCAATAGTAGGCACTTGAAAAATAACTGTGCTGCGCTTTGTATTAGGACAAGATTTGCTTGTGCGAATGTTTTTAAATACACATAGAATTTTTGACTTCAAATCTATATATTTTTATGGATAGGCATAACCTAACCCCGGCATTAACCTTCTCTACTTTCTTTTCATGAGATCTCTGTTGTGTTTCTTGGTTTTCATAACCACATTTATTTTCCAATGTTCTCTAACAAACCTTATAGGACACTCAGACTATCATTGGAACCAACTCTGTATAATTCTAGTTGGATTTAAATAAATAAAAAGGCTAACTAGATGACTTTTAAGGGGAGTTGGTTAAAGTATGGATACATTTCAGGCTATCAATGTAAAGGGGCTAGAATCAAATCTACAACACATCTTTTTATATCTTTTTTGGGACATTCCATGTCCTACTAGATTTTCAATAAGATTTTAGTGAAACTCATTGATGTTTTAGCAGTAATCTCACAAAATGTGAGATTCTTTAAGTAGAGATACTTTAAAAGGAACTACATATAAATAGCATGTGTAAAATCGGAGCTATTCACAGGTTCATTCTTACCTGTGAGTGTACCTTTCCCAGGTTAACGGTGAGCATAAGGACTGCTGATAAGAAGGCCATGCTGCTGGGTAGTGGAAGTAGACTATAAGTTTAGCCACAGCAGGTTAGATGCCTCCAAAATATATGTGTCCAGTCACAATGCGGAAAAATTAGCGGCAGACAACAAGTTAAATTGGTATCATCCAGATCTTGAGCAAATTCAATAGAGGCTTGATCTTGAGGTATTCCACAATTTCTGTGAATCCTTCGATTGGCACACAGCTAGAGCTGCTCCTCTTGTCTTTTTGCCTCTCTTGGGAGAGCTGCTTAAGCAAATGAATGATTCAGAGCTGAGCTCATGAGGCCAACTTAATAAATAATGTGATCCATTACTCAACTCTGTGCTGGGTTTTGTCTGTATGTGTGTGTATGGTGTGTAAGGTTACGTTCTGGAAGATATTGGACACCTGGCAGTCGGTATGGGGTGGTTCTTGCTTGAATGGGAGGAGATGTTGTTTTTTACAGTATGTAAGGATGTGTTTCAGTGCATTGAATTCATAATAATAAAATGTAGAAACACTTTAGATCTCGGCTTTCAGAGCAATGACTTATGTTGTCTTCAGGGCAATGTATTCAGAAAGCATTTTTTGTGATTAAACTAGGCTGTGTGTGTACCTGGATGTATTCATCATGGACAGGGTGAAATGTGACTGCTCCTTGGTTTGGTTGCAGTCTCACTTGGTAGTGATCAACACACCCCTCTGGTTGCAGCCAGCGTAGTGAGAATGCACGTTCAGAAACGTTGAACAAATGCAAGCCTCTCACTTGCTTTGGCACTAAAAAGGAACAAACGGGAAGAAACAGGGTCAGAGGTAGGGAGAAAGTTACTGTAAATCAAAGTAGACCTGATGAGGTCAGGTGTGATTAACTGAGCCAGTGATCAGTAAAGCTCTTGAAATATCATCTACCTGTGGTGACAGTCAGAAAAGCAGCACTTTCTGCTGTCACTCCTCTCACTCTCTCGGCACTCACGTTGTAGCTGCACCCGTCCAGCAGGCCTGTAACCACAGCAACCTGCTCCTCTTTAGGAATTGTGAGTACTTTTGTGACCGTAAGGTTGGCCACGGTTACTCTGTGAAAGTCGAACTCCCCAGGTGCCCCGTCCAGGCTCACAGAGAAGGACGAAGCATCCACCTTATTCAAACGAAGGCTGCATTGTGCTGCAGGGTGTTAAGGACAAATTGGAAATGTTTTTCAGGCATATGTCCTGAATAAGATTTAGGTGTGTGCTTTTGTTTCTTACGTGTGCTGAACTCTCTGTTTGCTTCATGGCTACTGTCTGATCCCAGAACACTCTGAATGCTGACCCCATAGGCTGACCCCGGGATCAATTCTCTGACCTCATAGTTTGTGCTCTCGGTGAAGACCTCAGTCCAAGATTTCCTGTCTGCAGACAGCAGACCAAAACGAAGCTGGCAAAGCAAAACACAGAAATATTTTTTAACAAATAACAATAGCAATACTAGTCATTTAAAGGCTACTTCTCAAAAATCGTTTTGAACATCTTCCCTTTAGTTTCATGCTAAACATTGTTTTAAACAGTGTTTATGTACTTGGTCATTGTTCCTGGCAAAATGTCAATGAAGGCTATTCATCTTTAAACGGTTGTAACCAGATCCTTATTGTGTTCACAGTGGTTACCATGCAACCACAAAATGAATGCAGGTCGTGGTTGATAATAATAGTTTGGATAGATCTTTTCTAATAGTAAACATACATGGATATATGTACATCATAAATTTACTGTGTTTGTGAGATCTTGGACAAATTTAAATGTTACCTTGTACTTGTCAACCTGTCCTGCTGGTGGCTTCCAAGTCAGAAATACAGACGTATCGGAGTGCTCTGATGTAACCACTTGCTTTGGCATCCCTGGCACTTAAGTTGCATGCAGTTAAGAAACATTAAATATCTGTAGTTAGTATTTGAACCAGCAAAAGAATATATTGAAAGTTGTAGAGATTAATCTTGTCATTTTAAAATATGAAGTGCTACATTGAATTCTTTGGTGCCTTATTGATAAGTGTTTATATGGTGGAACATGAGATGCACAGGCCAGTGCTTTTCCTGCTAACCTGTAGCACTGCAAAACTTTAGAGTTTTAACTTACTTGTATACAGGATCACAGTACAAGGCTTACTTCTTTTTGCCAAACTAGTCGTGATCAGCTCAATTGTGTACTTGCTGCCCTCAGCAAGGCCTTGGAAATTGTATGATCTGTTAACACACACACACACACACACCTTTGGTAGTCAGTGTTTTCAGGAACAGGTTTGAGGCAGCGATAATAACTCTGGGTTCATATTAATTTTGATTGTGGCAGAATGAGAAGAGTCTTGCCTGCTCTCCTGATGAGAAACGATCAGCTCCTGAATGGATGTCGTGTTTTTGATGGACAGAATGAATGAGCTCACCAGTCCTCTGGCTTCACTCCAGCTAATGCATATGGATGCTGTTGTTTTATTGACGAGTGAAACCTCCACTTTGCCAGGAGCTGGCACATCAAAAAGCGACGCATGTCGCTGTTAAAGAAAAGAAGGATGGAGAAGTATTGCTGTGTTTGTATGTGTGCATTTGTGTGCCTACCTGCAGTGATATTGATTGAGACAGGTGAACTGTCAGTGAAGGACTCCTTCTCTGTCCGTACAGCAAAGTGATAGAGTGAGCCTGGAGTCAGACCAGAAAACACTGCACTCTGACTAAACACCTTCTGTACCTGTAAACCACAAATCCAAAAGGCAAAAATGATCAATACTTCTGTATAGTAAATACAGTGGGGTTATCGGTGAGATAGGAATACAGATTGTGCACAATATGTTATATATTAAATATGCAACCAATTTAATAATGAAGGACTGAAGGAGTCATTTAAGTCTTGCATATAGCAGATAAAAATCAAATCTGCTCACAAAATGCTGAAAAAAATGTACACTTTCTGTTTACTCATTAATTTATTAATTCACCTTGAGTTTCTGGCCGCAGTTAAAGCATATGACCTCATAGCTCTGACCCTGTCCTGGAGCCGGATCCCAAAGCAGCTCTATGGATGTTTCTGTCACCACTCCTTCCCTCACTCTGCTCGGTGGAGCTAGACCTAAAATCAAACACCTCTTCACAAGATATCCTCCACAGCCAATATAATTTGATATGCAAACATTAAAGCATTGAAGCATTAAAGCCTTTATCTGTCAATCAATACATGCAGTATAAAACATAAAAAAAAAATTAATCATAAATATTGTTTCTCACTACATGAATGATTTATATTTACAAGAAAATCAATAATTGTGTTTTAGAAATAAGCCACATATAAGACATACGTCCTTTTAAGTCAAGAGTATAACTTAAAAGTGCAGGCTTCAATCATTTTCAAATCCTCTTATCATTTTATCATTTAAGCCCAAATCTTCAAAGCTCTGTAGCAGACCTGATCTTCAGCTAAATTTGGGGCAGATTTGATTTTGAATCTGATTTATATAATTTGCATGACATGATTATTAAAAAAAAAGGCTTGTACTGTAACTGAAGGTGACAACAGCAGTAATTTCTGTATTTTGTAGCTGATGGTAAATTGCACAAAGAATCTATGAAACACAGTTGAATTATCTAAACAGCTTCAATTATATGAGGTTAAACACACATTAGTCATATATGAAATAAATTGCTGCCGTAATTACATTAAAAGTAAGATGATTAAGTTCAATGACACTTATTAATAACGTGATAAGTAGTTTATTCTTTTGCATGAAGAAAGGTACATTAAAAAACCTTTTACAACATTGTCAAGGCAGAGGAAAGCCGATAGAAAAGTCTTAAGTAAAAATCAGTAAATAATGTTAGCTTTGAAAATGTAGAGAACTTGGTAAGATGTTTACCTACGCTTTGCAGCTATATATTCAGCTCTTCTAGGGAGCCTTCCAAAAAGCTAAGCAGTAACCTTAGTTAGTCCTTAGCTTTCATGCACTTGTAAGGAGAAGCATTGATGTTGGAAAAGAAGCAGTAACATTTTCCATTCTTATCCATCCATTAGGTGTTTTATTCTGTTTTATGCTTTGGTAACCTATTAGGGTTTTTTTTTTCTTTGCATTTAAACCAGTGGACTCTGATTAAAGAAGAATAGTTCTGGGTGAAGTAAACATTTGGATTGAGTATTATTGCCATGTTTTAAATGATTTTCAAGATAAAAATCCCAATTTCCAGTATAAGTTATCCATTTTCTTTTCAAAACACCTGGAAATTTAAAGGGTTTATGATGCCTTCCACTCTTACAATATTTTACAATTCATTTAGAAGATAAAAATACCCATAGCATTACAAGTCCTCCACCATACTTAACACCAGAACTGACCAAAACTTCCCCATGGTCGTGCTTTTTTGAAAGCCACACCAACTGAGAGTGTTTGTTTGTTGCCCCAAAGCTCAATTTGAGTCCCTTGTTTCTTCTGGAGACCTACAGTAGTAACCCGTACTGTAATATTAGTTCTCCAACTATAAGCTTTTTATATCATTTCCTCATTTTTCTCTTTACTTGGTGTATTGAAAACCTGTGGATGGTGTAGTATTTTCACACAAAACATGGTTATGAAAATGTTTTTTTTAAAGCTCGCAGACGTCTGACACATGGAATCAAAAAGACAAAATAATTAGAATAAAATAAGTCGTCAACCTACTTGTTTTAATGGGATGCGTGTAGAAAGGTGGTCCAATTCTTCCTTTCATAGTACTGTACACACTCAGCTGGTACTGTGTCCCCGGAGTAAGACTGCTGATGGTTGTGGTATAAATGCCAGCAGGTAGGGAATGCCAGTCACAGGAATACTCACACGATCTTTTACATGCCCTGTTGCAAACTCCAAGACATGCACACACTTTGACACCATCACTCAGACCCAGCTTTGGAGGCTGAACATACAGTTGTGTATAGTTTGTCCCCACAGATACAGGTAGTGCCACCTGCACAGGCAATGGAGCTGCATCCACAAGGACAGATACAAAATCAGACACACATTTCCAAATAGGCGTGTACTGTCAAGGGCTGTATTTATATTCCTATCACCTGTGGTGTGAATGCTAATGGACCTCTCGCTCCTATAATTTCCCCTCGTGGCAACGACTGCTGCCTCATATGTGTGACCAGGAGTAAATGAGCCCAAATTAACACAAATTGATTCATTTTTCCCAAATCCACCAGAGCTGGAGTCGTTTATCCACAGCGAAGAAACAGAAGTACTATTAAACGATTGGGTTGTCACGTAATATGCATCTGGAAGATCACTAGGTGGAGCTGTCCAGCAAACTGACAGGCTGTCATTCAAGCTTAGCATCAGCAGATCACCAGGAGGCTTCACCGCTGAGAGACACAAATAAGGAATTATTCTTTCTTTTTAACAGTAAATTTCATTTAAACACAATGTAGGACATCTGTTTGAATTTGTAAACTCTGGATTTATATAAAAACTATCTTTGTGCACAAAAGCCTAATGATATATATTTTGATTTAAATATCACACTTTCTGCTGCATTTTTCGAATAATAAAAGCAATAGAAATACTTTTTAAATTATTACCAGTGTTTTAATGAACAATATGCCATATTTCCAAATAGTAATGTGCAGTTTTTAAGTATCTAATCAAACATTCATTACTTTTACAACATTGTCAAGGCATTAATTAATTTTCAAAACACTCAAGATTCCTGAAAAACAATTGGTTAAGGCTTTAGTGAAGGTGTTAAACAGAACAAAGGTGTGTGACAGAAACTTTTAGCAGATAACAGGAAGGAAGAAAGTCTTATTCATAATGTTTGACATTCTCTAGCATAAATCATGGAGCCTTTTACAGTATACAACACATATCCCTGATTCTAGTATAAAATAACAAATGCCTCCTTATAGCAGGCTCAGCTAGGTAGAATGATTATGAAAGCTCTTTTTGTTCTTTCCTTTTTAATAGAGAAAGAAAAATCTGCATAAGCAAAAATCTGCAGGTCAAAGCTTTACAAAGAGTAAATTGGCCATAAAACCTTAAACCTGAGTAAATACATCTCTAACACGGCCCATTTAGTGATGCATTTATTTCAGAATTAGAAATTAAGGACTTTTTTTTTTTTTAGGACAAACATACTTTAGATAAAGTTATCTGCTACAATTTTAAGTCATCCCTTATTTCTTTATATTTTGCTTCCAACATTGTTTCTTAGTTATCTTATTTGCAGATCAGTATGTGAAAAACTTTTAGCCCTCATTATTTAAAAATGGGTAATAACTGGCAATGTTTCAAATATTCTTACCTGTTTGAACAATCAGGGGTACCTGTCTGCAGCTCAAGATTCCAAACTGTGTCACTGTTAAGACTTCAATTCTGTATCTAGTGTAGGACTCAAGTCCTCCAATCACAACAGTGTAGGACAAATTCCTGTTGGTCCCAGAAACCTTGGTGATATTGTTAAGTACCCACTGCTGTCCTGAGGACACATCTTCACATAGTACAGCAAATTCCCAGCCAGCTGCACACCGGGTAACCGGCAGCATCCAGTGCACAATAATCTGACTAGCAGTTATGGAACCAGCAGTGATATTCTGAGGAGGAAGGGGTCCTGTAAGCATATATATTCCAGGTTAGCATATATTTATATGATTTGTGGGTTTCCGATATTTGTGATAAGTTTTCAGCAGACTCACTCATGTATGCAGTCTGTGTTTGTCCCAAACTCCAGCTGGGGCCGGCATGGTGGGAGACCTGAAGGGTGAAAGAGTAGATGCTACCAGGGGACAAACCTGTCACAGTTACCCCTCTAGATGAAAGAGAAATTGGGACTCTGACTGTTTCTTTGAAACCTGGCTTGCTCTTTTCCCTGTTTGACTCCTTGCATCCATCTTCTTCACCATGACCTGAAATGGCCATTTCACTTTCTCTGTACTTGAGGAATATCTCAAAGGATGGAAAATGAGGAGAGAAGAGGGGTGAAAGGTCACTCCATCGCAGCTCTGCCTGCTGGTCTGTCACCTGAGCCAGGTCGAATGAAAATGATGAAGGAGTTGAAGGATCTGTCGAATGCAACACATGAGAGGAATTATTCTGGTCAGAAACAGGAAAGAAGTTTTATTTCAGTGCCGCCAGAATTTAGGTCTCAAAGTTTTTCACACGTGGTCAGGTACTGGCAGACTGGGCTCTCTACGGCACTTTAAGATCCTTCCATAAAAGGTTACATAGCTTCTTGCATCTCTGGGCTGCTGTTCACAGAAACAACTTTCCTCTGATTAAAGAAATGAAAATATACATTTTCTGGTGCCTGAATTTTAGGTGCAGAACATAACCTTTTTTGATACTTTTCTTTGCAATTTCCACAATGTCAGCCATTGAAATGACCCATAAGTAATGCAAACTAGAAGTATGTAAAAAAAAAAAATCTTGAAATTTGTAAAAAAAAAAAAAAAGAAAAAAAAAAAGGGTACACTGTGTAGGCAAATTACTTTGGTATTGGCAGATGAATGGTAGAGGGATGTCACAAAAAAACGCAGTCAGAAAGTATCCAGGGCCTGTAGCATTCCTCTGAAAGGCAAAACAGTCTGTCTGGTCGGCTGGGAGTAGAGTCACCAGAGTCTTTGTCTGATTATACGGCGAACCATCAGACCAGAGTGGGTGGCCTTCCTCCTGTTGCGAGAGGAGAGTAGACATTATGTGCTGAATGGACACAACCACTAATTAATGTCTCAAAAACAAACCTCCTTTCTGAGGAGGAACTGCTGTCATCAAGCTTTTATAGCTTGTAAAGTAAACTAATTTCACCTGCTTATTAAAACTTCAGGGACAGTTTGGATCACTTTAAAGTGACAGCATGTCATCAAGTTAACACAAATAATTATACAAAGAATTATTCTAATTTTCAGGTTTGGGCATTTGATGAAGCTAAGTTGTTTAAGAAAAAAAGTTAAAAGTCTACTGTTTGGTGTTTAAAGTGTCTAGAAATAATTATCAAAGGCAAACTTTAATATGTAAAACAGCTTTTCAACAGATAATATTGTAAAGTAATTTTGATTGGACAAATAATCTTAAATAATTCAAGTATAAGGGATTTAAAGCTGCTAAGCTAATACTTTTTGTAGTTCTTTTCATGCACTTTCATTTTTCCACATTTTCTCATTATAACTATAACTTTCAATGTATTTATTATATACAGTATCACAGTATAGAAAATTGTGGAAAGATGAAAGAGAGACACAAAATCTTTTTTGTGAACAACAGCCTCATGGAGACCAGGAAATGCACCAGTTAGATTGGATATACGTTTTTTAGAAGTTAAAAGCATAAAATTTTTTTTTTTTTTTTCAAACAATAAACCAAATACTGAACAACTAACAGAGTGCTGTTCAATCAATAATCTAAAAATAAAAAATGTGGAACACCTGCAAAATTGAACATGAATCTGAACCATCTAAACTGGTAGGATAAGCCTTGACCTGTAAGAGCTGCAGAGACCAGCAGCTTGAATTGGAGAATCTGTTGATAAGACTTCTACCAGTGCACACTATAAATCAGCCTTTGTGTCAAAGATTGAGGAAAAACAATTACTGATAGAAATATGGCCATAGGAGTTTCTCTTTATCAGCTCACCACAACCCTTACAAAGAACACAGCAAACATAAAAAAGGCTCCCTGGCCAGAAAATAACTTTCTAACAATAAAAGGCAAAACTTTGTGTGGAAAACTTACACAGCACGTCATTCCTAACACACTATTCCTAAGGGGAAACATGGTGGTGGTGGTATTATACAGTGGGGAGTTTGATTGAATTTTAGTGTGTAAAATAAAAGTTTATTGATATTGTGTATTTGTGCCCTAAATGTCATGCTTGAAGTCAACACAGACTCACAGAGATGAACTGCATTATTCTGAGTTTTCATCATGCTTTTTGTCTCAGGATACATGTTAATGAATGAAAAGTTACCTTTTGGTCATTAAGACCTGTCCAGAGCAGCAGCAGGTTGTCTGCTGTCTGTAGGTAAGAAGATACAAAGAAGAGATCTTCCAGGGTCTTCAGGTCAACTAAATGGCTTCCATACACCAAATGTTTGCATCTGCTCATCGCATCACCCCAACTCAAAACTGATCTCCCCACAGAGTAGCAGCTTCTTCCATTAGCCAGCCAGCCCTGTGGACACTGATCTGCAATCATCATTATCATCAGAGCACAATATGAAGACTCCAGTCAGTCAGCTCACTGGCAAAAAAAAGAAACGCATTGTTTGTTATTCTTAGAGAGTACAATACCTGTTTCCAAAAAAATTAGGAGTTTTTGCATCAGAGTGATGCCAGGATGAGCGAGGAAGGTAGCCACCATGACTTCAATCATGTAGCGTGTGCCAGGCTGGAGATTTTTCATCGTGAATTTGGATTGGATCTCTGAGAGGCTTATGTTGTAGATGCCAGTGACAGAATGTGTGTGCATGTTGTACAGAGTAAAGGTGAGTATGCTCTGCTGTCTGTGAAGTGGTTCCCATTTCAGGTGGGCAGTGGTGGTGGTGGTGGATACGTTAAAGGAGGAATGAGACACTGGAACTGGAGAGACAATTAATATATTGATTAATGTTGGTGAAATTCATCTTACACACAAATAAACTAAATTAATAAATCTTAAATATCTGTTCATATGTGCAGTTTAGCAATACTCACTGAAGTGAAAGATCTTTGTCTCGAGCACTGAATCATTTCTGCTTCCACTTAGCGTGATATTATACCCCCTAAGGTCCTGGCTCATGTGCAAACGTATCCTGCAGTCAGGAGAGCATGCTGAGCTATTGACACGCTTTGAGAAGATCTACCAAAAATGTTGAAATAGAAGAAGAAATATTAAACACATATAAAAGCAAAATTTCCTTGCAAATAAAGTCAATGTTAAGGAAACAAAAAGCTGAAGGACTGTATATTTTACAGAGTGATTCTCACCAATGGGTCACCTGCATGCCTGTAGGTGATGGAGTAGCTGTCTGCCTCTGGGTTAGAGGAAAAGGACTTAAACACAACATCAACCTCAGAAGGATGTGAACGCTGTCCACAGGTGGAGAAAACCACCTGTAATTTCCATTATATAATTAGTACAACATATTGCTTAAATATTGAACTGTTCCCCATTTTTTACATTTCAGTCAACTACATTACAACTAATCAATCTTACTTTATCAGATTTTAATGTGATAGACCAAAACAAAGTACTGTAGTACAAAACAGTACAGTGGAATGATAACATGCTTTTAAAATTTTTTGAAAGATTCTTATGGCCCCAACAGCTTCTATTGACAGTGATAAAACAGTAATGGAGAGAGAAACGGTGAATGCATGCAGCAAAGGTCGCAAGGTCAGATTCCAAACCCCAAAGGCTGAATCGAGGGCTCCTCTGTATTAAAGGGATTTAAGTAATTTGCTTTTAATCTGAAAACTTGACATGTATTGGTGTAGAATGCAAACCGAGTACACCTGCGGCTAATCTGTTTTAATGTAGGATATAATTTTTTAAAGAAAAAAAAGCATAAAAAACCCAACAAAAAGCGTTGTGAAGACCAAGGAACTTCTTTGATATATGCCAGACACTTTTGGCTGTCACTGTGGAGAATCATCTGATTGTCTGAATATAAAAAGAGTACTATACAGTGGCAAACCAGACATAGCTGCCCATTTAAAATGGCAGGGAAGGTGAGAAGTCTCAGGCAGGATGTTGTGTTCTGACTATAAACTAACACTGGGCTTCACATTGCACACAACATCCCCATAATGAAACATGGTGGTGGCAGCAATATGCTGAGGTGATGGTTTGGGTTTAGGGCTACTGACCAGTTCAAATACCTTGGAGCAGTTATTGACTCTACTCTAATGTTTAAAGGTCACGTCAAGAAAATCTCTGAAACAATTAAATTCAATATTTGTCATGATCTTGGCGCTGATGGTTTGGTTTTTTCCTTTGCTCCTTGCTCCCCTGTCTAATTGGTTCTGCGGCTGATTATCGCCGATCATTTCCACCTGGTTCCTCTACTATTTAAGTTGTGTGTTTGCCTCCCACCAGCGCCAGGTTATTCTTGTGTTTTTGTGATACGTTCCCTAGCAATCTGCAGTCTGCCTGTTTCCCTGATAGTGACCAGTTTCTGCCCTGAGGATTTCGAGTTTTTGCCTTGCCCCTGTCTGCTCTGTTTGTCCTGTCTGATCCTGGATTCTACCGGCTTCTGAACCTGGAACTGTCGTCTGACTTCGGCCTTGGATTTCCCTTCTGGACTCTGTTGCTGCTCGGCGTCTGCTGCGGGCTCTCAAGGAACTCTGGGGGTGTCTCCCGCCGCAACTGCGGTCAGAGCTCCGCAAACGGACTGAACTTTGAATCAGGTCAGTGACTTTGCTCCAAGTCGTGTTAAGCTCCATATCCAGTCACTGATCTGTATTCTCCCATTTCTGCAGAGATCCGCCCCGCAGCAGACGAACAG